TGTATTACTCCTATAAGTAACGATTGATATAACTGACATTGTCTTATTTTGTACAATAAAACAAGAATGCTCATAAGTTAAAATTGTTCCTTTTCTTTGTATATTTATAACCAATCTTCTGTCTGTCATGAAGATTTGCATGATGCAAGGTTAAGGTAAATAATAAAGTAAGGTCATTATAATTTTTAATGATAAACTATATACAGAGTGGATAATATTGATTGGATGGATGCTAAGTGGCCTATTAGTCTTTGTTGATTGGGATCCTGTTGTCAGGTCAAAGGTCAAATTAAAAATCTTCATTGCATGCTGTATACAGGAAAATTTTGCCACATTGTAACTTTTGCTCTTACGGAGTTAGGGCAAAAACTTGTCGTGGGGTAAATTTTGATGTAGAATTAAGCTTTTTATGTGAAGGTGAATTTAACACCGTGCCAAATTCATGAGTTTTATGCATGGTTAAAAAAACACTTTGTTTCCCTGTACATAGTAACATAGCAATAGAAATTGTTGTAGCTAAAAAGTCAATTTTTTTTTTTTTTTTTTTTTAAATTGTATGTTTATCATCTCGTTTTTGCATCATCAGTCCGGTTATCTTGATGTTAGGTGGTCCTGTATCAGCTGATGACTACCTAACTGACAGAGATGAACAAGATACCAGAAAGGCCTGTTTCATGTTATTTGATGCAATTGGAGTGGAATATCTTGCTTAAAATGACATTCTTGATGGCACATGTTTTGCAAGCTGGGCTATCATGGTCTGCCATCCCCATTCCAATAAAACATTGCCTTACCAAATTGAGTACATCCTAATCTTCAGTGATGTATTTATGCAACAGGTAAGGTGTGTTAATGCATACCCTGAAGGATCTCTTAACGGAAAATCAAAGCTTTTGATGGAAGAATCTGGAACACCAGAACTAAATTTTGTAGCCATCCATCCAGAGATAGTGACAAACTGTTTTTCTTTAAAGGTCAACCCGAGTGCAAAACTATCTACTCTTTCATGTAAAAAAAACACTCCCTCATTTCATGACTTTAACCAAGAGTACCACAGGGCAGAACCATATACATTTGTACCCCTGTTATATGCCAAATAAATATTCTTGATTTTTTGCATTGAAAAGAATATGAATATGGTAATAATGAGTCAAAATGCCCTTGAGGAAAACAACACTTTTAAACAAAGTTTTGAAAGAGATTCATGGAAGACACTGAAAAGATCAAAGGGCAACAAGTTTTTAAATGATTGAATGAAAATGCTGTTCAAAAGAACATAATTTCACATTGTAATTTTAAAGCCTATCAAGCTTCAAAGATATTGTTTAAAAACTAAGAGAAGAGATATCTAGAAAATATTTTTTAAAAAAATTTAAAAACACTAAGGGAAAGAACTCTTCCAAACATTAAATCACAATGCTGTTAAGGAAATCACAATTAGAGGTAATTGTTATAAAGCTTGCCAAGTTTCAGTAAAACTGTTGGAAAACCGAGTAAGGTCTTCATACAAACAGAAAATGCATGAAAAACAGTGGGCAAAAAATACTTCAAAAATAGAGTTAAACTGCTGTATAGGAAAAAACTTCATGTCACGTTGACTAATCCTACCAAGTTTGAATGAAATCTGTTTGAATGAAATCTGGTAAAAACGTGAGAAAGGAGATTTTCAGGCATGAATAACATTATGGAAAGAACAAGGAGCAGTAACTCTCTATAATATGATTGAATTAAACTGTCGTTCAGGAAAACACAACTTCCAGTCATAGTGTTTATGCATGTTAAGTTTTACAAAAGACGGGTTAAAAACTGAGGGAGGAGATCTTGATGAATAAAAATTTTCGACTGACTTTGCCATACAATACAAAGTATCAAACGAGATAGGTTGAAGACTGTGGAAGGTGATCTCTGGACAAATAAGTTTCCAACTGACAAAGTCATACCATAATACATCCAAGTCAAAATCTGTGTAAAAAAACAGACCAATATCAGCCATCACATTTTCTAGAGATCTGTGTTTTCAATGGGCCATTTTTAATTTTCCAGTGTTTGTGGATACAAAAACAAACAATGCTATCACTTTAAATGGAATTTTTTATTTTTTCCTCTGATCAGCTCACATCAATTCTGCACACCAAATCGTAAGCATACAGACAAACATGATTATATGAAAGACAGAAAATTCGAAGTTACAGATTCTAAGACAAATTCAAAACAGAATGAAAACTGATCAAATCAATCTAAAAAACTGTGCAATGAAGCCTCAATACTTCAGCCATTTTGGTCCCAATACCTATTCTAGTCACCATGATAATGTCACCTTTGTAATCCAGCCAGCTTCATATTTTCTCAGATTATTTAAAAGTTTAAGGTTAACCATTGACTCCTAGTGATAATCCAGCCATTCTTATCTCTAGGATAGAAATAAATTGTAGGTAAGCTAAGGCTTCAACAACTTCATCAGTTGTAATTCATTATATTAAACCTACTGGTATTTTGTACAATACTGGCTGGATCACAAAACCTCAAATGTATTATTTTTACTGAAAAACGTGAGACATGTCAAGGCAATGGAAATTGTGAGTTACTTTCTCAATATATATATATATCAATATAAATTATTTCAATACAATAATAAATAGATTGTCAAATTCAAAACTGTTTAAAATCAACTAAATCTGCTGGTTGCCTCATATCTTTGGAAAAATATTTCGTTAGAGACGGCAAGAATAGATCCAACTCATATCCATTCTGAGTCATAGATATGAAGCGGTACAATGTAGTGTTGGGTGGTCAGCTGATGTAGTGGTAATGCACTTGTCTTTCACCCAGCCGTCCAGAGTTTGATTCCTGGCACATATGTGAAAAGGTATAGAATTGCCTGCCTGATCCAATGGGCTTCCCCTGGGTACTCTGATTACCTTCCACAATAATCAGGCATCCTTCCATGCCAACAAGAGGGATTAATACAAGCTGATAGCTTAATGTACATTGAAACCTCATTATTAAGATCAACTATGGGACTGGCCAAAAGTGGCCTGGGCAACGGAATGGTCTAAACGGTGATTTTGACTAATATTAGTAGACTGACCTCCTGCACGGCCTAGTTTGTACATAATTTCACATTCAAACACAGTAACTGTATACAGTAACCAATTACACACCTAAGTATAGCTTATTGAGCTAACACTTGGCAGGTGTATATGGTAGAATACCTACCTTGTAAGTCTCTGTTCATGATTCAAACACAACCAAACCACTTTACTCTTGTTTGGCACTAAAATCTATGGCATATTAACAACTGAAGTGCTTTGCTATGTTTGTTTCACTGGGTTTACTGCCTTGTCAACTTAAGGCCAGGTCTTATGGAAAACCCATCAAATGCCATACAGAACAAATGGGGTAAAGTCTCTTGACAAAGGACACAACCACGATAGTTTAGAAAAGTCTGGGTTCTAAGCTTTCTGAGAAACACAAACCACTACAGGTAGGGACAAAAGTAAATGTCTCAAATCTTCATCCGAGATTACATAGTCTAACTTCTACCGATAACAATTTTGTCCCACTGCAGGGAATGGCCTGGAAAGATATGGTGACACATCGTACTAATAAAAGGTTTAAAACAGGCTTGTTACAGGCTTGTTACAGGTTTGTTACAGGCTTGTTACAGGCTTGTTACAGGCTTGTTACAGGCTTGTTACAGGATTGTTACAGGCTTGTTACAGGATTGTTACAGGCTTGTTACAGGTTTGTTACAGGCTTGTTACAGGCTTGTTACAGGTTTGTTACAGGCATGTTACAGATTTGTTACAGGCTTGTTACAGGCTTGTTACAGGTTTGTTACAGGCTTGTTACAGGTTTGTTACAGGTTTGTTACAGGCTTGTTACAGGCTTGTTACAGGCTTGTTACAGGTTTGTTACAGGCTTGTTACAGGATTGTTACAGGCTTGTTACAATTTTGTTACAGGCTTGTTACAGGTTTGTTACAGGCTTGTTACAGGTTTGTTACAGGCTTGTTACAGGATTGTTTTTACAGGCTTGTTACTAGTGAATAATAGAAAAAGGATATTCTGATCATTGAAATCACAATAAATTTACCAGAAAACTAAAGACGATCAGATCTATTGTCAAAATTAATATTGACTCTATCTATGATACACAAAGAGCTGGTATTATTTTATATTTCAACTATCTTGTCCTTAATTTTTATTTTCTGTTATACTTGAAAATTTCTACCGAGTAGGCAAGTAACACTGCCACATCCATATCCAGGTATGACTAAATTGAAAGTAAATAAAATTAGTATTAGTACCTTAATTCATCACAGCTTGTCAATATACATGGTATGTCACTACTAAGAATTCTGGTGTTAACATGATTTCATAATTTAGATACAAATAAACATGAAATCAAAATAAAACCAGTAAACATAAACAATATGTTCAAGTTTTCTATCACTGTAAACAGGCTTCCAGCAGTGTCACTGTCAGTTTTTAAAAATGTTTTAAGAATTTTAACATAAAAGCATGCTAGTATAGTAATACTTTGAACCTTGCAATCATCAAATTGCCAACATAATGCTGCACTATAAATTCTGTAATTTATATAAAAAAAAAGAAAAAAATAGCAAAAAAAAAAAAAAAAAAAAAACTGGAGGAAAAAATATGAAAAATAAAAATTTTAAAAATCTTAATCTCCAGGTGCAGTATCACACCTGCCAACTTTTCAAAACTGTCACGAGTGTGTCACGAAAATTTTTTAACTTGCCATGATACCTTGCACATTGTAACATTTTTCACAAAGGATAAATTAATTCATTAATGTATATTTAATCAATACTTTTAGATAAGTTAAAGTTAATAGTGTGCCTGCTTTACTATCCTCTCACAATTTTTTAGAAAAACAATTTTTGATCAGGTCAGGATTAAGTTGGAATTTAGAAGTAATGCAAATTCTCCATAAAGTGAGATTTCTCTAAATTCTCAGTATTCACTGAACTCACACAATTTAACAGATATCATCAATTTATAATCATTTATTTTGTTGGTGGAAATGATATACATTTCCAAATGTTATGGTTCTGAAAGAATTTATCAAATTTAGATTTGAAAAAAATATTTTTGATTATCTCATAAAATATTAAGCTGTCATTTTTGTACAATTTCTTTCAGGAAATTCACAATGTTTTTAATAATTGGGCAGTGTACTGAGATAGCTAGTCCTTGATTATGTGACAGGGTGGTCAGCCTTAACTGTTCCAATTTGGTAAATATAGCAATGTTACTTATGACCTACCGAACAGAGATTACCAGGGACGGGGAGTAAAAATCGAAAAACTCCCGACTGAATCAGGAAATTTGGCAAGTATGCAGTATTGATGAAAAAAGTTTGATAAAATGAGACGGAAAATAGTGTAAAAGTAGACTGTGGTGAGATAAAAATAGTAACATCTGCTTCAAAAGGTTAATGCTGTATCGCTGGTAATTTTCACTAGTCATATTTTTAGCAATTTTCTTTTACACAGATCACATGATATTTTAACCTATTTAAAATTTTGTGACGTTAAAGGACATCTAATACAAATATATGTCACCATTTTACTGATGAAGTTTTTCAGTCACCTTAATGTACTGCAAAACAACCAAAATATCATCCCTGCAAAAATAACCGGCAGATAAGCTTTTCAATAGACAAAGCCTTTGTTGAATTATCGTATCAGTGTAGTTACTTTATGTCATTGAAAAAAAAAGAAAGAAAGAAAACGGAAATCAAGAAATAAAGTGTTAAACAAAGTAAGATAACTGTTCCCAACTCTTGTCACATGTTTACGTACATCAAGCTATTTTACACAGACAGCACCCCTGGTATTTAAGTAATGGTAGCATGTCAATCACACAAAATCTGGACTGGTTTCCATCGTGAATGAGGACACTAATTCCACCAGATATCTAAGTGTACAGTTCAAGCCATCTTTTCTACTTCAGTACCACTGTACATGGATGCTGGTTGAGCCGTCTTTCCACAGGGAGTTGTCTGTGTGTATCTGAGCTCTACACATTGGGCACGTCTTTTCCCTGTCAAACCACACTGACACGCAATCTTCGCAGAAGATGTGCTGTAAAATGTGAAATTCAGACAAAATCAGCCATTTTTATACATTCTTCATTTGTTAAGGAAGATGAATATAAAAGTTTCAGAGCAAAAATCAACAAGGTTTTAACGTTTGGCTTCAATTGAAAGAGCAACCGATAGAAAAAGAGTGTAGTAAGAAAATAATTCTAGTCCGCCACCAAACTATTGACCAAATAAAGAATTCTCGTTCAATCAAAGTTAGAAGGTGACTGTAATTTATGTACAACTTTCATGTGTCATGGGATACTTCAACAGAAATTTTCTTTAAAGTTTTCATGTTTCCTTAGGATACACTACATATACTGATAAAACTGTACAATGTTCTCCACTTTATGTTACAACAATCTTACCTTACAATTCAGCATTACTGGGTCTTTATAATCATCCTGACAAATGGGACAACCCTCGCCTCTTGTTTTTAAATCGGAATTGTTTGGTTTAATACCGTATGTCTAAAATAAAAAGGAAAACAAAAGTCAGTCAAGTCAAGCTGTAACAAAAAAATTTAACAACATACAAATAAAATTTTCTTACATTCACTTCTACCTAAATTAAGAGGGACAAAAGCACAGATTCTTATATTTCAAAGTAAAGAGATGCTGACAGAATCTCTAAGCTGTTTCTTAATGTCATTGATTTTTCATTTCTATCATTAATTAGATAATGTCCTTTTAAAAGGTTGACTTGAAGGAAAAATGTCCGACATCTTGATTAAAAACCATTAATTTGGTATGAAGGAGCCAAAAAATATTACAAATATCCAAATTCTTACTTGAATCATTGAATCTATAAGCAGTTTTAATTTTTCACCCTTCATCAAATACACCACATTTAAATCAAGATGACACCAGTAACAAACATAGATATGTAATTTTGTATAAATTAGCATAAATATACATATAGATTTAAAGCAAATTATGACTTTTAAGTGATCTTTTCACACATCAAACAGCAACACATACATACCTTTTCTCGTAAAAGTTTCAGAAAAGCACCTTGTACATCTCTAATTTTAAACAATAACTGATATCCCTGAAAAGTAAATGGTGACTTTTTAGTGGTTTGTTTTTCAAAAAAGAAATGATACAAAAATGAGTCACATGTACTATACATGATTCATGTTTTTTTCAACTGAATATCAGCAATAAAAAGTTAGTAGTGTACAAGACATCCCATCCATTTATCAAATATTTTTCATTCAACCTTCTCTGATAACTCTAGAAAATAGTTTACCAAGTAGATATCTATTTTTCCCAAGGCAATTGTTAACTGTGAAGATATCTCATTTAACTTTCCAAGATATACTTACCTAAACAACATTGTACTTTAAATATACATAATTTGACCTTCACCAATACCCTTACATAAATTTGTACCATCAAAATATCTCATTCAATCTCGATTGACGGCCCAAGATAAATGTTCACCATTGACAATCACAGATACATTCATCAAACAAACAAATCCACACTATATTGTGCATCCAACTATATACACACCTTACAAAAGAAGTAAAAACAGAGGAGACCTGCAGCAAATGCCCAATATAGTCCATCTGACAGGAAGTGGTACCAAGGAATTATGGGTATAACCATTCTATATAACTGCATAACATGTTCCACAAACATGTAGTATTTTCCCTGAAAAGAAATTTCATATTACTTCAATTGCCCAGAAGATATCAATTAAGTGTTATTTACAAGTTTGTGTAATGCTGACGAGCACCAATGATTTTTAAACAAATCGTATACAAATCAAGTGGCTTGTATACAAGTACACACAAAAAAAAATTGCATTATGTATACAATTGTAGATTTATCTGCATATTTATACATTTTCCATGATCTGTAACTGAATCTGCCCTTTGGTTCATACATTTGATCTATAACTCAACTTCTTTGGTTTAGTGGCTTTCAATATTTGTTGTATTGTAACATAACTTGTTCTTCGGTTTGATTGGTTCTATAATTAACTCAGTCATGTTCATGTTAGGTTTATCTAATAGTTCTTCTTAGGTTTGGTTGATTTGTTCAATAATTCATCATTTTCTTCAGTTCTTCAGTGTGATAAGATTTTTCAACAATTTACCTTGTCCTTTCGTTTGGTAATTTAACATTTAAACACTTGAGGGTAATTTATCCTATTAACAAAACTTACCCTGTTCTTTGGTTTGATAGGTGCCATGGAGAAAAAGGCTTTGATTATCACAGTCACATATTTCAGCACAAAGTCATTAACACACACTGCCCAGAAAAACATCCAGATATCGCCTTCCCATTTCACAGGCAATTGAAATATCAGTCTGGAGTGCAAAAATAGACATCAAAATATTATACACTGAAAGTCTGGTTGGGTTAAATATCAGAAAAAAATCATTTTTGGTTGGTTAACACCATTTGATATCACATTTCAACAAATTATGTAAAGTCTGTTACATGAATCGCATCAAACAGAGAATAACCTCATTAGTTTAGATAAGAACATACGTTTCTCAACAGAAAACAGCACTGTAGTTTCAGAATTGAAAAGGTATAAACCCCGGTATAAAAAGATGTAAGGAAATTATTGGTTTATCCCTTTATTTAAGAAAACAGTTATAATCAAAACTGGTTTTGTTCCGTCAACTGACCCTTTCTTATTGAAACTCAACTGAGGACTCAATAAAAAAGACGCCATAATTTCACATCTATTTCAGTGGCAATTTTTCATTTATTTAAGCCTTAACCTTGAAGGATTCACGCTGCTTAAATTCAATGTTAAATATCACTTTAATACAATTTTCTCATATCCTAATTGATATTATCAAGAGAACTCCAATACTAGACCTCCCATCTTCAGGAACCGCCTACTTTCTCAAAACAAATACCCATAAATATTTTACAATACCTATGCTAGACTAACTAACTTGATTTAAGATACCACCATGCTAAATCTTTTCATGCCCTGATACAGATTAGACAGTGTGTACAGTACACATAGTTATATTTCACGATAGAGCCCGAGAAAACCTATTATCATGATAATAAAGAATGTTTCTTTCCATATAAGGGCCAGAAATGACTTACACATTCCATAGCTGTTGTTCCTGGAACACGTAGTACACACAACCAATGTTGGCAGTCAGGAACATAACAATCCAAAAATAGGACAGCAATACATTATGTAGCATGGCATCCTATTAAACAAAATTAAAAATTCATTGCAAATATTTATTCCTTTCTTAGTCAATATCTTGACAGCAGCCAGACATTCCAGTTATTGACAAAATTGAATAGAAACTCTGATGTGTGTTAAACATGTGCCTGATAAAAAAAACAGTTTTAAAACATTTCTCAGCCACAAAAACTGTCATACATTGTAAAATAAAAATACATATCTTTCAAACTCAGGAAATACATGTAGCGTCTATCATTTTCTGAAGACTGTGATGTTTCCAGATAAAGGAATTTATTGCTTGTTGCAATTACCTGAACCTCACTTCTTTTATTTTCATCACTTCAGCCATTGATGGAACACATGAAAATTGTGTGAAGCATGAAAGGTAAGTCTTCATTCTAATAAAAACTTATGTTTACTTATATCGAGATATCAAAAGGTGCTGAGCCATCTCCCATTTTCATGTCTTTACTCTCACCTCAATCAAACTCGAGTAGAAAAATTAAGTTGAAATGTGACAGCACTCAACACATTTTCACCCTAGAATGGTTTCATTCTTTAACCATTTGCATGGATCTGGTTTAATCACTGAATAGAGCTTTGTTTTCAACTTTCCTCTTTTCATGTATATCAACTTACCCGTAATGATGACTCGTGCACAATCTTCTTGAAAAACATGTTTGCGTAGAAAAAAGTTCCTCCGAGTCCAATAAAAACCAACATCCCTAGAATTATTTACAAAAGTTTATCACTTATAACGAATAAAATGGCTGTAATTTCCTTCTTCAATTAATTTCAAAATAATTTTAAAACATATTTTTGTTTTCCATAAATGCAATTGATTTTTTAAATTACCTGTATAGGAATCCAAAACATACACAATGCAACATAACAGATATTGTATCTGATAAATACAATTCATAATATGTAAATTGCACATTTTACTATGCTTACAGGGCTCTCATACCCCATTTTGGGACTGGGGCCTGGGGCCCTTAGAATCGGGAAAAATAATGGTGTTTTCCTTAGAATTGGGAAAACTTCGGGTCTAAATTGGGAAAAAAGATACTTTTTTGCATTGGGAATTCGGCCCCAAATCTAGCAGATTGAGAGCCCTGGCTTTATTTCCATTTAATCATCTTAATTCAAGTATTACCTAATAAATGATCAGTGACAACTCTGATGACCAGTATGACGATGAAGAGTAAAGAGTTGAGAAGAAATATGCTCCAATCCATACTATCCATACCCTGCACAACATGTGGGTGGCCGTTCTGTCCATTATTCTGAGGGCCTGTGTTTTGATTTTCGTCATGACTACCTAGTGTTGGCAACTGAAAATGTTCTGGAGCCATGTGTTGTAAACTCTGAAGGTTTATGCTTCCAACATTAGCTGAGGTAGGATCAAACACAGAACCAAAGTCAATCACAAATGATTGGTCTGTGGGCCTCTGACCATTGTTGTCATTTCCATTCCCTTGCACCACATTTGGTGCAGTGGCTGGTGTAAGGGGAGCGTGATGTCGTAGTGGGGTCTCCCTTGGTTGCACTACTCCATGAGGTAAAGCTCGCGTAAAAGGACTAGCATGCCGTAAATGCTGGGCCAGTGTGGGGCCATTTTGTTGTGTGTTGCCTCCGATTCTAGTCTCTCGGTTCTGAGAAGGAATCTGCCAAACGACTGTTTGGTTACCATTGTTTCCTCCTTGTGGAATCTGTGGCATTTCTTCAGACATTTTGATATCTATATGCTGGCAATCTCAGGTTTAGTCTTTACATAATATCATTTTTGGTGTGGATAGTACTAAGAAATACACACATTCCACATCAACTCCAGTTCACATATCGGCTGTAGTCATATCTGAAAAATGGAGGAAAACAAGTAAATATAAATGTTCCAACAAATGAAAACACCAGGTCAACAATACTGGAACAAAGTAAACAGGATTTGATCATTTATAAAATGTACAGGAACTTCAAAACCTTTGTTAGTTACTGTACAGTGTAGGCATTCATCAAAACCATCTTTCATATCCGAAATTGTTGTGAAAGTGTTTTCACTAGCTCACTGGGAGAGATAATATCCAAATACAGGAACATGTGAAATAAGCATGGTAATAATCTTCTACTTCTTCATGACCTCCTTCAGCAAGATGAAGATCATGTCATTTTGATGGTACAAGTACATACAAATAGCCATGGGATATGATAGTCTTGAAAAAAAGACGAATGAGTTTGATTAAGGTTATTTCATTGTTGTTATCTTGAACATTTCTTGCTTCTAAATATTACAAATTTCTTATGGTAGGTGGTTCCAATCTGTTATTGTTCATGGAACAAATTATTGTTTTGCATGTAAGGACCTGGAAAGAGTGGATGTCAGCAAGCCCAGTGAGACGCAAGGGAGATATCAATGGATATGGCAACACAATTATGCACCATCTTTAAGAAAGCGCAAAGGCCTATATCCCTGTGTCACTTTTGTAAAGTAGAAAACCCAGACTACCCAGCATTTAACTGATACTGAATATGTTCCAGTGTCTATTAGTAACAAAGCAGACTGCTCTTTGTTAAACCATTTCTATACAATGTATGTTAGTCTTTGAATAGGGGTCCCATTCACTGCATATATATTCCAGGGAGTGGTCTAACTTCAGAGTCTTGTTGGCATTTTCTTTTGTGGGTGTTTAGATCTTAAATCAAATTTCAATCAAATCTGAAATTTAAGATCTAAATATTTAGCTTCGTCGACACATCAAAGTGACAGTCCATGTAGTATGTTTACTTAATGGGGGATTTATTTTAGTTGTATTGAAATGACATTGCACGTGTCTGGTTGAAATGACATTTTCCACTTAGCTTCCCGCTGAGCTAGGAGGTTAAGCCTCTTCTGTAACTTTGAGGTATCACCATTAGCTGAGTAGCTGTTACTGTCAAATAACTACATAGGCGGTAGTGTCATCCGCCAAAAAGGTGAGCATCAGACCTACTGGCATATCATTGATATTGGGATTGCGTAAGTTATGACACATGTACGCCTATTTGTTGTTCACGTAACTACTGAAAACATGAGAGAATGATGGACACCAGCAGGAGTTAATGAGACACTTCATCAATCATTCGTGATTTGCTTCAGCCCGTTTTTAAGGTATATGATATCAGGATATGACAATATGACAAATGTACTGATGCACGTAGTAATCACCTGGGAGGTGTTATATACTGCGTGTAACATGTTCAATACAATAAGTTAACACCTTATCATTTAGAAAGTAAAGATACAACAGAAAACATACCTGCAAATGCTAAAGAAACAAAATGGATTTAACATATTTGGCATTTTCTCACCTTCACAACATTTTGTGACGGGTCCAAAACAAATCTCAACACCGGAAACAGACGACGCATTTCATTCGCGATCCTAATGTAACAGGAACCAATCAACAGCGCTATTACATATATTCTTATGTACGCGTCCATGTTTTCGTATTAGCTGTTTTTGTGTACATATATGTTTAGTTATCAACATATTTTACATTCTGTCGCTTAATTGATATGACGTTGAAATAGATTTCCATGGAATAGCATGTATTTTCCAATAATACAAAGATTCGAAACTAACAGATCTGTCGTTACACTCTTGTTCGATGCTGTCCAAACGGTTTGGTTGGCGATTGAGTTCTTTTTTTTTTTTAAATTAAAATGAAAAAGACACAACGTAAAAACATTGACTTAGAATATTCTAAGTCCGAGATAAAAGAAAACGTTCCTGTTTGCTTAATCAGCTATAACTTTTGTTAGCTTTTTCATTGAATTTTAACAGAGACGTATATATCACATTTTCGTCTCTGATTTTAATTAGCTTTTCCGGAGACATATATTACACATACGTCTCTGACTTTCCTATCAATTAAAACACCAATATTTCTTTAACATTTTATCTGAGTAATAGAATGTTTAACACCTAGACATCTGGAGTGTCATTTTGAACTATGTCGAAGCTATGTCGAAATGAATTATTTGCAGATTAGAAAATATAGCAACTTATAAATGAGAGAGAGAGAGAGAGAGTAGGGGTGGAGCCATCTAGCGGCAACTGGTTCTCCCAGACTAGAACCTATTGTCGAAGGAAAATGGCTATATGAAGAATAAAAAATCTTCTCTGAAATTCTATTTTTAGACTAGTGGGTTGTTTTATGGATGGCTTTCATCAAATGAAGTTGTGTAATGCTTTTCTGTGAAATTATGAAAAAATTCCTTGAAATAAGGAAGAGTAATGAAACCGGACCCTGGTAAAAAATGGATTTTGTGACTTTGGACTTTCAAATGTCTGCTATATTGTACATGTATACAGTCACGTAATGTGTTACTAAACATTACCCATTCATCAAAACATAATGTATCTATACTACGTCATTATGCTTGTAGTCTAGATAGAACTCAAAGCTGATTTTACAGTCTCATTATAATAAAATAAAATAAATTGTTAATGAGACTATTACGAACTAACGTGCTCTATAATCTGATACTTTGTATGTACACACGTGTATACAACGTATAAATATACTGTCTATTATGTAATCGTGTATATATGTTGTGAATATTTTGTATTGCATGTTCCATTTCTTTCGAACTCTTCATTTTGGAGGTAATAAAGAGAATAATATTAATCAAAATGTCTGTTATATTGGACAAGTATACAGCCACTTATTATGTTAACATTAGCCGTGTTTGACAGTTGTCAGCTGGTTTTCGACAGGTGAAAACACGGGGATTTGGCACTAACTTCCAATTCACGGTTCATATATATGTATAATAGTGACTGTAATATGTATATATGGACCGTGGATCTGGAATTCGTGACAAATCCCTATGTGTGATAAGCGATAACAAATAAAAATATCTTTACGACGAACGAGTCTGAACATTTTCGTTTACACAGGAAAAGTTGCGTCAGCAAAATAGGCCGGGTATAAATAGAAATATTGATCTGTCCCAACAGGTATTTCACAACGGCCCTGTAATCGACCGCATGACGTCAGCTATGTGTATTAAAGCACAAGTTCGGCCATAGTTACTCAGTTCACCACTACCACTCGGACGACACACAAGCTCTCTATTTCGTTGAGCTTGTTGTAAGATGAGGGCGTGTTCTCAGCCGCTTACTTCGTCAAACCATGCTGACTGAAGTAAGAAAATGACCCAGGCGGGTCCGCCCTGTGTTTCTACATGGCCGCGGGCCCGGGACTCATCTCGCATACACCACCCGACTGGGTGGAGCAGACACGATACAAGTAAACAGTCCGGATCCTGGAACACATTTGGGTTGAAAGGGGGCGGTGGCTGTTTCGAAAGCGGCAACGCAATCACACATACAGTGTGCTAGTATTCGAGACACCACCCTCCCGGACGACCCCCCAGGGGTGCTATATCTGGGGCGTGGTCATGTTTAGTTCACGTTCCATAATGGTATACCTGGGGTAGATTTCACTACAAAGACTGGATGTGTTGATATAACATGAGGTCAATCAGGTACGTAAATATCGGTGAATGCGTATATGTGGAGGCAGGCTTGTTTCTTATCCAAAACACGTAGCGTTATTTGTCATTAATCGGGGAAAAAAAATCGCCCGTTTAATATATTTGTCTTTTTTAACACCTAATGTATTGCTCAGGACGTCATTCGATAGTGTCGTTACAGTTTGTCATGGACAACGATTTTACACGTAGCGACACCCTCATATTCCTAGGAGATATCACTCCGAAGGCCCTACTGCCTGAATGCCCAGTAGTCCGAAATTTAATAACCATTTTCGGACTATTGAACTTTCGGTCTATAGGGCCTTCGGCGTAATGGGCCTGCGGACTATTAGGCATTCGGAATATAAGTGTGTCACCATACATTAGTGTCTGGAGTTATAGACGGTGAACGTACTAAAATACTACGTAGATTAAGGGGAGATCACCTCTATTTCACTTGTTGATACATGTTGATACACAGCTGATTTTTAACAACTCGTATACTTTTCAATATTTTATGTGTTTATTTGAAGACAATCTCTTGTTCAAACATAACAACACTAGGATATAAAGATTTGCTATCACTAGGTGTGAATATGGCCAAAGGATATTTGGTACGAGAATGAATCAATGTGTAAATAGTTATATTGAAGATGAATTCCTTCTATAGAAGATCATGATGACAGAACCACGAACTTTTGACGGATATGAAGTACGTAATTAAACTAAAATTCTTTATTTTCAGGTGAAGTTTGTGTTCAAATGCAAGGTCGAACACAAAGATAAATAAAAAGTTTACATTATTTCAATCATCCCAACCTCGATGTAAAAGACGATGAAATATACAGTACGTAACTAATTAATTCTTAAATGTCCATCCGCAAATAAAATTTACACAATAAGTATAAGTAAGTCTTTTACGTCGAGGATAGGACGGAAGTGAATTGAAATGGTTATGACTTCAACAGATTTATTCGATATAAATCATATACATTTTGAACAATGAAAAAACTATGTAGCTTTATTTTGTCAATTGCTAAAAGAAAAAAAAATATTATCCTCCTAATAGCAAATAATGTTTATTTCCTGGTGATAACATACATATAATATCGTCAAAAAATATTTCTTAACATTACAACATCTACTATCATAATACTAGTGAGAAATTCCGTCCTCTTTCTTGGCACTCAACCCTGTACATGAAATACTTTTTTACTTTCTGCAATTTATCTCCGGAATTGTTTGCAAAAAACAAAAAACAAAAAAAAACAGTGATCCATGAATAACTAAAATTTAAAAAATCCACCTTATCATTATTGCGGAAGTAGAATCGGTCAGATTCACTATACAAGATTAAGGATGGGGTACAGTTCATAAAGATTTCATCTATTTCACAGAAGTCTTATAAATAGTCCACCATACTCGTGTAATCAAGATGAGACCAACAAAACACTATTTATTACGTTGTCGATTTTTCTCCGAACCTCGTATGTGGCATTGTTTTATTACTCTGAATAATCCTATCTCGACCAATATACTGCTGTTCGGCGACAATGAGCACAATTTCTTTTCTATTCATTTTTTTCAAAAACTTCATTGTCAGCTCTAAGAGATTTGAGTGATCTGTGTTTTCTGTGCCCAATGCGCTGCCGTCACAGCTTGCTACATTCGCCTTTTTTCAAAATGGCTAAGTCAGCCTCCCTCTTATATTCACTCTGTCACCTTTCTTTTCTCATTTTCTGTTTCATATTTTCTTAGATATACACGAATTAATATCTTCTTACAAATGGTATTTCTGGAGGTTTACACTATCCGTATCGTCAATTTTATTTTCCGGTCAATTTTGATGTCATAACATATAAACTTGATTTAACTCTTCCCGCCAAAATGTAAAAATAATGGTGAGAATAAACAAAAAGAATATTACAAAGAGATACTTATTTGTGATATCAGATGTTTTGTATTCCGGGTCTGTGCCATTCACCGTTTTTCGTTCCTTTGTTTGAAGACGTAGTTATCAAGAATACTGTTGTGAAAGTTATTACATAAACCCCTTACATGGAACAGTGTTAGACATTGATTATGAATTAGAATGAAACATTGCAAGTGTCATGACATCTTTCAGCAAGTTGACATTCCAAAGATAAAGTTTGTTATGATTGTGTCTGTGGTACTTTGGTGACTATTAATATCACAGTGCCTACTAATATTGCCGGAGTTTCCCTCCGTACATGCTTTTAATACCATTCTACATGTTTTAAAATAACTTTTGCAGTATCCTACTGCAGGAAACTGGAAATAAAAAGCAGGACATGTGTTGAACACTCAGTTTCAGGATTTTATCAATGTAGAAAGTGCAGGTTTTGTATACTGTCAATGTCGTGTATGTTTTCGTTAGTTCTGTTAGGTAGATACATTGGAAACGCGAGCTGCTAGGTAGATACATTGGAAACGCGAGCTGCTATGTAGATACATTGGAAACGCGAGCTGCTAGATAGATACATTGGAAACGCGAGCTGCTAGATAGATAAATTGGAAATGCGAGCTGCTATGTAGACACATTGGAAATGCGAGCTGCTAGGTAGACACATTGGAAATGCGGGCTGATAGATAGATAAATTGGAAATGCGAGCGGTCAATTTCAATTTAGAAGATACAACATATCCATGAATTGACACTACATCGTACAGGTGTTTGGTCCTTACAGTACTTGTCACTGATGTCATGGGCATAAATTTTGAAACCAAAAAGACGACTGGGTAAATTCAAACTTGGAACAAAAATGTCAAAATCTAAATGTGGAGGTGCATTAACTCTATAATTCAATATTTTTTTTCATATTTTTTCGTATATCTGATTATTTCTATAGAAACACATGTGTCACTATTCGAAGGCATACCAAATGAAGGAAAAACACCAGGAATCACTAAAATAATGAGCCAGACAATGTTTTAAATGCAGCACTATCTATTTTATTTCTCCATTTGATTGTATTCTATTCCTGTAATCAATCTTGTGGGTTCGACGAAATCGGCTAGTAACGGCCACCTGTAAAAATGGTTATATATCAACTTTAACTTTTACTCAAATAACATATTCATATGTAAACAGGTCATGATATTAAGCAAGCTTGATTTCTTTTTCATATAATACTTCCGTTTACATATTTTTTATCCGATGTATTTATAATAGATATTATAGAGGTTTAAATATCCAAAGTATATTGATCTCAGTAATAAGCTGCATATAGTGAAAAGTACATTTTGTGAAATTGGCAAATTAAGTCAATATTCGAAATATGCAATACATATGGTACAACTAATTTTGAAAATTCTTATCACGCTGCCTTTAATTACAAACAAGATATACCACTGTTATCGATCATCTATGATAAGTATGTAATACAGCCAAAAAGATAAATTGCTTACCCATTCCGCCCATTCCTCCGCCCATTCCTCCGCCCATGCCTCCTTTGCCGCCCATCATACCTGGCATACCGCCCATTCCCATACCGCCCATTCCCATACCTGGCATACCGCCCATTCCTCCCATTCCGTGACCCATTCCTCCGCCCATGCCTCCTTTGCCGCCCATCATACCGCCCATACCGCCCATTCCCATACCTGGCATACCGCCCATACCTCCGCCCATTCCTCCTTTTCCGCCCATCATACCGCCCATTCCGCCCATTCCATGGCCCATACCTCCGCCCATTCCTCCTTTTCCGCCCATCATACCGCCCATACCGCCCATTCCCATACCTGGCATACCGCCCATCATACCGCCCATTCCTCCTTTACCGCCCATCATACCGCCCATTCCTCCTTTACCGCCCATCATACCGCCCATGCCGCCCATTCCCATACCTGGCATACCGCCCATCATACCACCCATTCCTCCTTTTCCGCCCATCATACCGCCCATTCCCATACCTGGCATACCGCCCATTCCCATACCACTCATTCCTCCGCCCATACCATAGGCAGCTGGAAATAAAGGAGAAAGATTTAATTCGTTTTCTTCTCAAATGAGTAAAAAGTGTCTTTAACTCGCGCAACTTTCCAAGGATTCATCATGAACATTTGGACATTGTAAATCTATTTACATATCAATATACACATATAGATAATTTTATGATTTTCAATGCTTTCAGGAAAGTATGAGGAAGATGCACAACGTAACACACATTATAGATGTAGTTAATTAATCGCATTATACGCTCATACTTATATAAATTTACGTTTCCTTTTTGCAATTGCTTCGCCTACAATCATTAACTAATATTTAATTACAACAGAATTTATCAACAAGTTGAATTATGTCTGTATCATTTTCTATTTTTGATAGGGAGTAATGTTTCAATTTTTTTTTTATTATTTGTGTCTACTTACCACGCTTGTAACCTACAACATCAAAAGCAAAGTACAAATCAACACATCATAACGCAGGTAAAATGGACTCAAAAATATGCACACAACATTTGACTCAGGCCGACCGCTTTTGTGGTTGTCAACATCGATTTTACGTGAAACCTCTGAAAAAATCGTTTGCTCAGATGTATATGGGCCGTCATACCTAACATTGAAATCTGTCTTCATTTGCCACTCTAAGTCACACTGGACTTCATAGAATGAATTTCAGGTGTTCATCAACATCACTTTACTGTGTATTTTGGCCTATTCTTATATTCCGTACACTCCATATTAATTTCCGTACTTGTGACCCCTAGCATTACCAAAAGATCTCGGGACGAAAAAATATTGTAATGTTGTATTACGTCATTACACAATTTTCACAGTGTGATATAGTTGAATAAGAAAATTAACAATGTCATGTAAGACTGGAGTGCTTATTTGTACCTTTGCCTTATTTGTGCCCAATAAGGTATCAATAATGAAATATTTCTATCATGAAACGGCCCTTTCGTAATGTTGGATATTATCTTGAAGTAGAATTATTACATTTTACAGGTGTAAGTACGCATTATTTTTTATATTACGAATTTACTATATTTGTATAAATATTAACATTTTGATGATGTCGACACGTGCTTTCATTAACCAAAGAGAAAAATAATGTATATATTGTACTTACGTCCAGCATTGCTCATTCCGTAACCGTTATTCATTCCATAACCGTTATTCATTCCGTTCATACCATTCATGCCACTGTACATATTGTTGTATCCTGATACAAATTGACAAGACATTTCACAATTTCATAATTTTTCAAACAACATGCAATAATAATAATAAACAGCAATGATATTTATATACGTCTGTCATTATTTGAAATTTATACCTTACCAAATCTTGGCTATTATCCAGGTTGTTCACGTTTTGATATAACTCTTGCCAAATTTTTTTTTTCCAGTTTCAATATATTATGCAACAGATTGTAAGACTTTAAAAATGATTTAAGTGTTAGTAGGTATAAACAGAATCTGAACTCGATCGATATTATATCGTTAAAAACATGGTCTGAAGAAATGCCTAAACCTAAAGGCAGACAATTTTTAAACGAACAAGGGACAAATTTTCCTGCATTAAGCTGATATATCCATCCCACTTACCAGCAGCGTTGGCAGAGATAACTACGGCGGATGCCATACAGACGAATAGGAAAGTGTTCATCTTGAAGATCTGTTATATATATAAAAGTTTAATATCAGAAATTTATAATATATATATATATGAAGAATTTCATTCTTAGGAATAAGGATTGATAGTTAATATTTTTGCCTCCTTGCATGACCGTGGAGTGAAATAATCATGTACAAGATTATGGCACTGAAGTGAAGGTAAACACACTTCAATATCTGATGTAAAACTAATTTTCAAACGGTTTTATTTTTCATTATATTCGACGATAGAGTGAAATGACAGAAAACAGATATCATGAAAAGTAGGACGTTTAAAGAAAGTGGAAGGCTGTTTAAGGATTTCCAAGGGGGAAAAAACATCATTTTTGTTGCAAAGGTCTTGTTACATTGAGAGAATTTTTAACCTTCTATAGAAAAATACACTTATACCTAGATTTCATTCATATCAATTTTAAAAGTGAATTTAAGCCCCGATAGACAAACTGAGCCTATACAGATATAATCACAAATTAATAATAATGCTTTGGGGACATTTGAAGAGTTCCCTATTTTTACGTGATATTTAGCTTGAGGTGTGATATGTATAACAAAGGATTAAGATTTTACGTTATTAGCCCTAACGTAGAGTGTCTACCAGCCTTTAGTTTTTTTGTAAATAATTGTCTTTCTAAATTCTGATAGAAGCTTATCTCTCCCTAATTTGAAACATAGGAATATATATCCGAGAGACTAAATTTATATAGCTTAATATTATTTATTTTTTTATTTGATATTCCAGATAAAGGGGCGTCACAGATTTGAGATGAAACCGTTAATGCCCAGGGAATGGTCTTTATCATGAATATTAAAAGTTATCTGTCATATACATCACGAAATATTATAGTATTTAAACGCTTAATGAAGTTCTGATATCACAACTAGTTTAACATGTAAGAATCTGTCAATTTAAACGAAACCTATCACCTAAGATATCAATTATAACAAGGAAAAAAATACATTTTGACGTTTTCGTTTTTCTTCGCATTTTACAGAAATCTTACTGCAGTAATCGAGAATCAGTCGTTCTACATATTTAATTTCAATTAATTATAACATGAATGCCGATTGATTTCTCTCTTCCAACAAAATTGGAAATAATAACATATATGATGTTCATTGTTATTAATTTTTATCTTGTTAACTGAGATGCTATTATAGATCATAATTTTACCCTGGACAAAGGTTTCGAAAATACCCAAACCACAACATTTTAATGTTGCGAATAGGCTATGTATATCATGAAGCTAAATAAAAAAAACTTACCTTTTTGTGATGAGCTCAAGGGCTGCTGGTGGGCTGTTGGTCGGCTGTGGGGGGCAGTGTGGTACACTTTGGAGAGGAACACCCGGGTCTTATATACATATCGTACGGAAATCTCGGCACCATCCAAACAGACCGCAACCATGTAAGGACGAAACAGATACACAGGTCACTGACGTGATCCCTTTGAAGAAAAGGTAATAATATTTTAATTAGTCGCAACAAACATTTTTTATGCCATGCTTTAACTATTAAGGAAATGTCAAGTCAAGGTGTTGACCATGGTGAGGGGCGAGAGTTACTGCTGAGGTGTTTACGTGATGAGGTCACGGGCGGTTATTACGATGTTAACGATCGACCGGTCATTTAAAAATTCACATGACATGATCTTTAGTGGTGTAATAATTATATTTTTCAAGTTTATAATTTTACCCCGTTTTGATTTTAAACTTTAATCCAAACGTGTTAATTTAATTCAGATTGAATATGTCATTTCATATATAAAATCTACAACTAATGACTTTTCAAGAATTTTTTATAGCTTTTGATATAGTTACCACTGTCTATTAAAAGCATTAGTGAGGCTTCCTAACAAAAATATACACAATGCATTGACGAATAATTTTTATTTTGTAATGTAGATAGTAATGTGTTCAAACAAGTATATATTTGAAAAAGAATTCGGACCAATCGATTAATTTGTTTCCCGCCATATATGTCCATCTTTGTTTAACTCATTAATGATAGCACGTGTCAAAAGAAAGAAAATATATACTATTATATATACTATATATACTATATATACACTATATATATATACTAATAGAATTTTATTGTAAGCGTCAAGTTCATAGACACTTTTGTCGAAAGATACATATATATGTATTATGGAAAAATCGTCAAAGGAATTTTACTTTCTTGTATAAAACGCCAAGGACAACAATAATTGAAAACAAGCAATGCAACTTAAAATAACAATAGAATGTTTCCTAACGTACATTGGAATCCTTTGATTTTATCTATTTAAATATCTGTACTTTATTTTTTTCAGTGTCGTGAACTTGGACCTGACCGTATTGATGCAGCTTTCTGACATTATTTCCAAAATTAATGTTAATGTTGTTGTGACCCGAAATTTATACATGTCAAATGAAAGATTTTCTTCACAATGCTTGACGTATGCTTGTACAGAGTTGAGGAAAGATACACCTGTCTTAATATCAAGGAAAGACTTTTGATTACCGCGGCTAATAATACAGTCTTCGTCCTTCCGAACCGTATGGTATCCTCAACGTCAGAGAACTATCATTCCTAATGATAATGTGCTATTTTATTTCACTCACAACTGGTTGATCTATACAATTTTTTCTTATTTGAAGAGAACTATCATTCATAATGATAATGTGCTATCTTATTTCACTCACAACTGGTTGATCTATACAATTTTTTCTTATTTGAAGAGAACTATCATTCCTAATGATAATGTGCTATTTTATTTCACTCACATCTGGTTAAAATGTACAATTTTTTCTTATTTGAAGAGAACTTTCATTTATAATGCTAATGTGCTATTTTATTTCACTCACAACTGGTTAATCTGTACAATTTTCCTTATTTGAAGAGAACTTTCATTTATAATGATAATGTGCTATTTTATTTCAATCACATCTGGTTGAACTATACAATTTTTTCTTATTTGAAGAGAACTTTCATTTATAATGCTAATGTGCTATTTTATTTCACTCACAACTGGTTAATCTGTATAATTTTCCTTATTTGAAGAGAACTTTCATTTATAATGATAATGTGCTATTTTATTTCACTCACAACTGGTTGATCTGTACATTTTTTCTTATTTGAAGAGAACTTTCATTTATAATGCTAATGTGCTATTTTATTTCACTCACAACTGGTTAATCTGTACAATTTTCCTTATTTGAAGAGAACTTTCATTTATAATGATAATGTGCTATTTTATTTCACTCACAACTGGTTGATCTGTACATTTTTTCTTATTTGAAGAGAACTTTCATTTATAATGCTAATGTGCTATTTTATTTCACTCACAACTGGTTAATCTGTACAATTTTCCTTATTTGAAGAGAACTTTCATTTATAATGATAATGTGCTATTTTATTTCACTCACAACTGGTTAATCTGTACAATTTTCCTTATTTGAAGAGAACTTTCATTTATAATGATAATGTGCTATTTTATTTCACTCACAACTGGTTGATCTGTACATTTTTTCTTATTTGAAGAGAACTTTCATTTATAATGCTAATGTGCTATTTTATTTCACTCACAACTGGTTAATCTGTACAATTTTCCTTATTTGAAGAGAACTATCATTCATAATGATAATGTGCTATCTTATTTCACTCACAACTGGTTGATCTATACAATTTTTTCTTATTTGAAGAGAACTATCATTCATAATGATAATGTGCTATTTTATTTCACTCACAACTGGTTGAACTATACATGTTTTTCTTATTTGAAGATAACTATCATTTATAATGATAATGTGCTATTTTATTTCACTCACAACTGGTTAATCTGTACAATTTTCCTTATTTGAAGAGAACTTTCATTTATAATGATAATGTGCTATTTTATTTCACTCACAACTGGTTGATCTGTACACTTTTTCTTATTTGAAGAGAACTATCATTTATAACACAATTTCATTTCACTTCATTTGTATTATTTCTTTTTTATTGTCAGGTAATAAGAAAATAAAAGAATTAAGTTCGCAACATATTCCGGTGCTTCCCAATAGGAAATTGCAGGAAATGTTCATTATTACACAAAGCAACAAGCTATGAAAATAGTTTTTTGTTACTGGTTCTAAAAGAAAAAAACTAATTGTACATATTTATCATAGTAACAGCCATACATGGAGGTGATGTCCGTTAAGCTTGAATGAAGCATGGTTGTAATTCACACACTATCTTTGCACAGCAATGAAACGTGTTTTCACTATAAAGATATATAGAGTTAACAGTCATCTTAAGATGAGAAGATTATGAAACGCAATCATTGTTTTTCTAATTCGAAGTATAAAGATTAAAACATATATATATAATTTTGTTTCAGGTTAAAATGTTGTGTTTGTTTTTGTAAATCTATATGTAAGATGAATAGACTTTCATGACATCGTCACTCAGCTGTATTACTATTTTGACACAGTATGTGACATGTTCTGATTATGTCTGGGGATGTTCTTCATGACAAGTAACATTGTACGAGATGAAAGCAGAAACTCATCTCGTCGTCACTTAAAAATGCAAAATCAGCAGAAAATATTCTACTATACTTATATTGTATTCGGCAGAACTGATATTCAAACATGTAATCTTTTAAGATTGTTTTTTAATTCACAAATTCCCTTCAAAAGTTTTGTAATACACTGGATGCACACCCACGTGTGTATGTTACAAATATATATATATATATATATATATATATATATATGTATGTATGTGTGTAAGTGTGTGTGTGTGTGTGTGTATTGTAAAAGGATATTGAAATAAAGATTGCATCTATGTCACAAGAGAATAACACGTTTCAAATCCTAAGGGCCTAAACCTAGGATGGGTTTGTTACAAGAAGAATAAGAAAAAGAAATGTTGGGGAGGTGCACTAACCCAGAATTTAAAAAACACATAATTTCCAATATTGAATAATTTTAATAGTCGTTTACTGAAGTGTGGCCTAACCAACTTCTTCATGTGTTTGTTATATCGGACTTTTGCGCATAACCTCTTCTGGTAAGTTGTTTGATAAAAGTAACAAGCAAACATTGTATGAACTTTTAGCCAGTAAAATACAAGAACTTATCAATTTGTTAAACATTTATATCATCACCACAGTGATGATGAAAGAGGTCTTATCACTAGTGGTATATAACTTTTAATGTGATGTTATAGCATTCGTAGTTTTGACCAATCAGGCCGGCGCTTTCTAATCATTGCATTGAAATTCGCCGATCTAGTTGTTTTTCTATCAAATAATTCCCGTATACATTTCTGGTTTACTCTGTCTCTAATTGTGGATTTAAAACTGCTTTATAATCGCTCTTTATCGGAAATCAGCATAAAATGGTAGTATACCGCACCATGGAGTCCATTAAAAATGGCGTCGTGTTTACATATCGCATTTGATTCGATATCTAAGGGCCCCTTCCGATTATTACGATTTTCGTAAAAGAAGTCGTTAACTGATTGGCAAATTCGTGTTGATTAAAATTATGGGGACGTATTACGGTTGTCAAAGTGATATCATTGAAAAATATTCTGTTTCTGTGTGCAATATGAACAAAAGAAAGATCTACACAGAGACTTCCAAACACGTATAAGGAGAACAAAACCGGGTGTTTCAGAAGAGTAAACGCCTTCTGCTTCATCAACAATACCCGCCATGTAATTCTTGGTCTTTCCAAGTAAGTAATGTCACGTTCGTAAATGAGAACAAGATATACAACAACGAAACCAATAGGCAAATTAACGAGCCTCAAACACGTCCAGAAACAGATCACTAAACAAAAAGTACCTGTTACATGATGTAACAATGGACGATGAATACCTCTTGCTGGTCTGTCCCAATATTTTGTCATAACTGACCTCGTTTTAACGTTCATCAAAAACCTTGTTATATTATTACCTAACATAAATTCAAATTCGCTAAGTAATTTCTCTATAATATTACATCCAAATCATGCGAATCCCTTTGTAATACATATTTTTTATATTCAATTGGTGGGCCATAATTGTCTCCATTTATTGTGGGGTTTATTTCTGCTTAACCCCTCAATTATCGCGTCCATTGGTATTTTGGTTTATTTTATCCGTATTTCCGTAAGAAGTGCAATTTAGAAATTCGATCATTATGAGACTGGAATTATATAACAACAGTAACCTTTAAATGAATAATTTAGTGTCTTTTTACCATATTACAAACTCTTCATGAAATTATTGTTCGGCACATATTATTGGCAATTAGAATTAAATTTAAGTTCTAATCATCCAATATGTAAACTTTCATTAGGAGTGATGAATTACTATACTTGGCCGATTTTCAATTAGTGAGCTGAGTAAGTTAAATCTCCATTAGTTGATTAAGTGTATGTTGAAAGCTCAGCTACAGTTATACCGGAAATTTGTCGATAAGATAATTTCGAATGAACTGAAATAAAGAGACTATACTATTGCTTATTTCATGTCCTCAAAACACTAAGAAACCTGTAGGTAAAGTTAAAACTGAATCGGTGTCAAAATATGAAATGTCTGCACAAGACAATATTATATGTAAATGGATCAGTTTTTGAGAAATAAGGATGCTATAAAAGTATAAAATCCATATTTAGTCATATTTATACGGTACAATTTTTGCTAAAACATTTGTTTTGCAATTTTGCTTTCAATGGCTTTATATGCTTTGTCCAAATCCTAACTGTTTTCCAGAATAGCTTGTGAATAGTGAAATTGCGACTCTATCGTAATTTCAAACCATTATGTCGATTGTTTATCGATATTTGGCAATCAGTCGTGTACTGATCACGTGCATGTCACATCATTGAATATTTTTAAAGTGATACCACAATATGTAATAATGCGAAACGACACATCCGATTACGTGTTGCCGATTTGCATCTTTTGAAGAATGCATGTCATTACTCTTTAAGTAAAATCTGTCTGAGTTGTCATTTATTCAAATATTTCTTTTCTGTCAGCACTTAATTATTAAACCAGCACGGCTCACGTTTACAGGATTACATTATGGCTGACTTATTATTCCTTTTAATCGGATCAGAACCCTGTACACACACTAAAAACTGACCCCCCGGGCCCAAGCAGTAAATATTGAATTGAATTTAAACTGTATGGGGTTTGGGTTTTTTTTTGTTTTGTTTTGTTTTTTGTTTTGTTTTGTTTTTTGTTTTTTTTTGTTTTGTTTTTGTTTTTTGTTTTTGTTTCAGGTTTTTATTTTTATTTTTTTAATCGTTGAATCTTCACATACCTAGAATTAAAGTTATAAATGATATCCATATAACATTAGTTAAGCGTTATAAAGGAATAAAACGTATCTTATAACAACTTAGCAACTTCCGTCATAATACAAATTTTTCGAAGCAATTTTTATATGGTGATAGTGTTCCTATTGATCCGAAAGCTGATTTATTTTAGATTTATATTTTCTAAACCTTCCAATCCTTATCCATCCAGCTGAATGTCATTTAAAGGTGTAAATAAGAAGACGTTAAGCTAGAGAAAGGGATGGACGGAAAGAACGAAACAAAAAAAGTGTGAAACGATCCGTTGATAAAAATTAGTACTAAACTTAAGGATTAAAGTTGTATAGTGTGTAAGGATTTCCTGGCAGAGAAGCAAATGGATTGTGTCTGGTAGGACAAGTAGGATGTACACGGATATATTTAATCTATTGATTTTGTTATAGGTTATCATATCGTATTTATATAATATAGTTTGTCATACGCGTTTCTTTCAGCTTGTCACAAAGTCAATATATTATCTTTAGAATGACCATGCATGTACCAACAAATCAACAGGGAAGACGATCGAAATAGATTTACTGGGATTATGGCTTTTGTGTTGGCTACTACGATAGACAATGTCTGTTTCAAACAGTAGTATGTTTAAAGTCATTCTTTCGAAACACATCACAGAAAAATCAACTTATTTTCAAAATAAATTTGTTACTTTTACAGGAAACACGATCAACTGACGAAATGTATAACTATAATTTACTGTTGCAATTTATCAACTGGTAAATACCTATTATACGATATGAATAGTTCTTACTTAAACCCCAGAAAAGACAATAATGATTCGGCGCGTTACCTTTTTCAAAGATTTATAGGTTTCTTTGAAAATTATCATAATTTTTGGTTATGTGTCAGATTTAACATATATTCTTACAAACTAATCATCGATTTACTAGGAGTTACTTCCCTTACATCAGAGATCAACGTGTAATCTTTTTGTGTTAGGAGAAATCTTTTCCATGATTTTGGATGGAAACGACCACAACAATATCTTATCCTGTCACTTGAATTTATAACAAACAACAATTACAACAGATTGCAATATTCACTTTTTAATCATTTGGAGACATTTACATACTAATAGGAGAAATTGAGAGCGGCTGGAGATCTAATACCCTGAAAAAGAATAATTACTTCATTAGTGATATAACGATGTAAAATAAATAAATAAATGAATAAATAAAAAATAAAAAAATAAAATAAAAAGCGTTTTCTTTTTTGAAGCAAAGAAATAATTATTAGAATTTTGTAAATCATACAAACTGCATACAAGCTTTATCAACTACATATATATTATTTAATTTTCTTATCTACCTTTTCCTCCGAATCCGCCTTGTCCTCCCATTCCGCCGCCCATTCCTCCGAAGCCACCATTTCCGCCTCCCATGCCTCCGAAGCCACCATTTCCGCCTCCCATGCCTCCGAAGCCACCCTTTCCGCCGCCCATGCCTCCGAAGCCGCCATTTCCTCCGCCCATGCCTCCGAAGCCACCATTTCCTCCGCCCATGCCTCCGAAGCCACCCTTTCCGCTGCCCATTCCTCCGAATCCACCTTGACCGCCGAATCCACTTGAACCACCCATACCTCCGAATCCACCTTTACTTCCGCCCATACCACCAAATCCGTTCATGCCGCCTCCCATTCCAGTGCCGCCCATACTTCCGGCACCACCTCCATATCCTGTGAAAAACATGCAAAATTTCTTTTAATTAACATTACTATCTTTATAATTTCCTTCAGTGAGATGTAACATATCTGGAATTTGATAAATATACAATGCTTTATATCAGAGCAGTATCTGTCCCGAAAATAATATCTCGTGATTGTTTTCCTTATTGATACACATTATTGAAAGTGTGACAATTCAAATTCTAAGCCGACAACTTTAAAATCAACGAAGGGATTCTTTTATGAAACGGACTAATATAAAGTTATATTGAATTGCACCGTTTCGTAAATTAATAGGATTGCAAGACGCATACTCTACGGGTATAATTTGTTCACCCTGGTTGTGTGGTAATCTGCATGTCATGTTTTAGTTGATTTGAATATTGAAACTGTCCAGAATATGATAAAAGACATGTACTTCATACGTTCTTTCGAAATAATTCTGCCATTTAGTCATTTATGCAGACATCCTGTATTCCTGATATATATTCATATAAGTATATCTTTCTATACATTATGTATGACTAAATGGCTATTATTCGCTTAGTATAAAGCCCAGTGAGTAATCTAGCGTATTAAACAATGCTATGCATTAACCATGAACTTTATTTTGAATTTTGGGCGCGTGCATCTTTCCTTCAGGATCTTAATTTCAACTAATTTATATTTTTCTCTGTCACCTCTTAGGTTCATACAGTATCACTGACAAGAACGAAATAACTGTAAGCTGCAGGCTAAAAACGATGTTATTTCTTCGTGTGCCTCGTGTAACTCTGAAGTACTCTCAGGTTGTCAAAGTTTAATGTCCACCTATAACTGTTTTTCATTTACTTCATATATTTTTATTTCATATGTTTAGATACAATGATTTCCAGCAATTTTCTTTTCTGGACAGAAGTGGCTGGATATGCTAATCCAGTATAAGTTAAACTTTCTCACGTTTGATATGAAGATAACATAACATTGATATAATTCATCAGATAAATTAACATTTCATTAGCGAAAGATCGACGAATGCTGTACATCATCGCTTCTCTTTACAGGACCTACCTGCAGCACTGACGGCAGCAACAAGACAAGCAGCGAGACAGATGTAAGTGTTCATCTTGAGGATCTAGAAGCAGAAATCAGATTAATATTATCTGTCAACAGAAGTGATATTGTGTACTCCATTGCTTCAGCCAGGTATTCGCAAATTGTTAATATCATATATCAAATTTTAATTCAAAGCCAAATTGGTAAAAATTTTCAAAATCTTATTAGATTAATATCTATTGTTTTATATAACATGACTTATCAATTATTCTTTAATTGGTGATTTCCAATTTACAGTTAAGAAAAGGATAATTTTAATGCAGGTTCTTTATCATTATCATACAGGCGTTTGATTCATTGTTAAGTAACATGATTTAGTCTACGACAAGAACAGATGATATCTACAAAGAATATTTACTCCAAATTATTGACTTCTGAATGGATAGAGCGTTTTGCAAAGTAACATAAGTAATTAGTAATTACTATTATTAGTGCCAAGCGATGATTTCCTTTTCTTTTTTCTTTTTTTGTTTTGTTTTGTTTTGTTTTGTTTTTGTTTTTTTTTTAATTTTTTTTCAAAATTTTTATACATATAGATAACAGAGAGAATGACACAACATAAACGTACAAAACTGAAAACATAAAGACACTATGATCAGCTTACATAAACAAACATTACATACTAGCAGCATTCACTCACCATGCACACCAAGTATAGGAGATGAGGGGAAACATGGGTATTTGTATGAAAATAACTAAATTAGAAGATATATCTATAAATGTGGCTGGCTAAGTAAAAGGCAAAAGAGATAGTGTTAGTAATATTAATATAGGGTTTTATATCAGAGATCAAGCAGAATCAAATTTTCCCATTTTTTTCAAATTTTTGAAATTCGCTTTTTGAGAGTCACTTATATTTGCGATATAATTTTGGATGTTATAATATTCTTTTACGTTTTTTACCAGAGCAGCTACATTTAAAATTTTACAAAGACATCTGGATCTGTAAATGTATTGTTTTATTATTAGAATAATAATATTGTCAGTGATATAGTAGACATTTCTATCGTTAATAAGGCCAAATGAAAATGATTGTTTATTGACTGCAAATGGTATGTATAGTGCAATTAGAAGTGTCTCAGAATTTTGTAAAAAGTCTTGTACCTCATGGCATTCCCACATCAGATGAACAATGGTTTCTCTATCAGAGTTACAAAAAGTACACATTGGACTAATAACTAGACCTGATTGAAACAATTTTGAATAAGTGGTTAGAATGTGGTGTGATACACGATATTGGAGCCATTGAAGCTTTGTGTTTTAGTTAGATTAAATAGAATTTAAAGGATATTGCACCAGTCAACTTCAGTGAAGTTAAATTGCTCATTGCATTTGATCTTCCCAGTGGCTATGGTGTCTGTATGATTGATTATGTTGTAGAATATTTTAGAGCCTCTATTATTTTGCAAAAAGAGATGTATAATCAAAGGTATGAAAGGACGATAAACAGGAGAGATTTCAAAGGACAGAGGGACTGACATGTACCTGTAACTGCAGTAATTAATCCTTGTATTTGAAGAAAATTTGTGTTTATCTGATATTCTTCTGCAAGTTCTTCGGATGTATAAAAACAAAAGTTATCAACACTTTTAAGAAGATCTGCAATTGATATGTATTCCTGATCTATACCAAGATTTATAGAAGTCTGGCTTACAATCAACAGTCATATTCTTATTATGCCACAAATTTGTTGTCAAAAATGTTTATCTTGTTGTTATTTCAATTCTTTGCAATAAAATAATTTGTACTAAATTTTAAAAACATCCTTCCAAAAATTATTTGTATTCACCACCAATGTTCATCAGAATATCAATACCAACATACTCTTTTAGAATAAACTTCCATCACCCATCAGTATAATATAATCTTTTAACCCAACTTAATTTTAGAGAGTTAATAAAACTATTCAAATTAATCATTTTATGCCTTAATCAGTATAATCTTGAACCACAATGTTTCTTTTAATTTTATCTGTTATACTATCCCATAAAAAATCAAATAACAAACTATTGATTTCTTTTATTATTTATCAGATGGATTCGGGAGTGAAATAAATAAATGGTTGAATTTGGATATCATAAGCGGCTTGATAATGTGAACTTTACTGATAGGAGTTAATTTTCGTTATTTCCACATATTGATCAAACTTTTTAATTTTATAATTTTCTCATCAAAGTTAAGCTTTGGAATACTATCAAGGTTTACATCAAAATCAATACCTAGTAATGTAAATTTAGTTTTTCCCCATTGAAGATAAAAATTCTAGGAGCATGGTATCTTCACTATATTTTTTACTTCCAATCCAAATTATATGAGTTTTGTCTATGTTCATTTTTAAACCGGAAATATCTGCAAAATTATTTAATTCTATAATAGATTTGTGGAGTGACATTTCTGACCCATAAAGCGCAAGAAATGTGTCATCTGCATATTGATAAGTAAGAATTTCAAAATTATTTGTCTTAATTCCTCTAATTTGCTTATTTTCTCTTAAATGAATAGCTAAAACTTCAGCACAAAGGATAAAAATATACGGGTCGATTGGTTCGCCTTGACGACAAGATCTTTTAGTTTCAAAACAGGGGATAAATTACCTCCCTTGTTAATTGCTGATGAAACACTGTTGTGTAATGTATTAAACCATCTTAGAATATCATTGTCAAAACCTAAAAAAGTCAAAACTTTCCTTATAAAACTCCAAGAGACGGAATCGATGACTTTTCAAAATCAATCATCAAAATTATGCCAGGTATAATATTTTCCTCGGTGAATTTCATAATATCATTAAGTAAACGTGTATTATCTCCTATGTACCTTCCTGATAAAAACCCAGTTTGATCATGATGTTTTCCTTTCTTTTTTTAAAAAATATGTTTATGGAAGATGCAATAACGTTACAATTTTATCGAAATCGTATACCGCAATATTTTAACACACAAACTGATTCTGTACTGAAAGTAGGTTCGAAAATTTAAAGGTTTATACAGATTTAAAGCAAAAAACAGAATACCGAAAGTCTACGCTTACCTTGTAGTTCAAGCGAAGATATCAGCTGATGGTGGAAGGTGCAAGGAAGATGTGGTGAGTTGCTACCTCGAGACAACCTCAATTTATACAGTAGCAAACGGAAGTCTGCATACGTCGGGTCACCACATTCATGTAACAGAAGCACATGATCGACTAAAAACAGAAATTACACCCCTTTGAAATGAAGGTTTATTGTTTAACTTTGTTTTATTTGTTTGAGAGCCCCATTCAATCTGTATGCTACATGTAAATTGCATGCTCAGGTACAGATGAAGCACTCGGCACGTACTTGAGAATGTGCATCTCGCTTTGATGGGATGACTGCATGGCCTTGTATCTTGTACGTGTTATTGTTATGGTATAGTGTGATTGTAAATAGATACAATGTAAAATTTGATCAAAGGATGAACTCTAGATGCATCACGGGAAAGAAAATGGTTATTTACTAGTATGAACATGATATATACAGCCACGCGTAGATTTTCATGAAATTTTATCTATCAATTTTGTTATTTCAATGTTACTTCAGATTATGAGAGATTATGTTCTTGTTAAATTTGAAAAATGAAATCAATATGGCAAAGCATACGTTATATGCCAGACGTTTACAAATATATATATGATGAGTATGCAAAATTATTGTTAAACATCTGAGACGGATGAAATACACAGACAGTGATTTAACAGCAAGGCTGAATGCTTTTTCTTCTTTGTTGTAAATCTAACTGTTGTGTATTTAAATTCGTCTTGACATTTTTTGAAGATCATCCAGGTGCCGATTTTTTTCCAGCGCCTTTCAAAATATTGGTATGTCTACAAAAATTAAAATAAGAAAAAATCAGCGACGGAAATATCACGGAATTCCGACATTCAAATGACAAAGATCATGTTTGATCAAATTAAAAATGATAAATTTAATCCAACATCATGTTCGAAATTAAAAAAAAAAAGAAAATCATTGTGAGGTATACTTAACATAACACCAATATACTTTTTACATGTAATACAAAGCACCACAGGGAATGAATCAAATGAACACATTTTGCATTTGAAGGTAACGATATTTTGACCAAGATAGTGTTATAATATAAAAGGAATATAATTGAATTTTCGAGTGCAGCATCTCCTGAAAGTACATATAAATGCTTTGCATTTAATACTTCGACACATGTGCTTGACGCTGTTCTAAAATTATCTGATATATGAAAATCAGGAAATTTACTTAATTAATGCTGCACCTCCCGTTCTGAATTTTTATTTATTTATTTATTTATTTATTTTTCGATTACTTCGCATTTTCCTTAGTCGCCTCCTGGGCTTCACAACTTAGGCCCTTAACACCACGAGTCCTGATGCGCTTTAATTCATTGTTTAACTCTATTCTAACTATCTCTAAATTGCTAAAATGCGCTATTCTCTTTTGTGTGTTTGGTGCAGTTATTAAATGTACACCATACACTTATCATCTAACCCATTTTGTTTCGACTTTTAGTAAATTTGCAAAAATAATTTAATATTTGATAAATCTTGCTAGGAATTACTTATAACAATTTAATTGTGAATCTTGTAAGAAATGATTTGAAAAGATAATGCATTACTGGTAATTCAAAATTTCTACATTTCAAGAAATTGAAAATAGAAATATCAAATCTGTTGAATATATCCTTCGCCGAGTTTATTAATTCAATTGTTAGAGGTTTCTATTTTAATTTGCAGTACTGTTCACAACAATGTTCATGTTACTGACGTCATATAGTTTTGAAAAAAAGATGACATATTTGGTTCAAACAAATATAGATATGTTTCAAGATAATATGTAATGAATTGCCTCGAATTAGGGTTTCCTCCAATTAAACACGAAAAACCATGCCTTTCCTGTCATTTTGTTTACATAAAACACTAGCATATTACCACAGTATATTAACGTCGTCCTTTTATAACTTTTAATACATGTAACTTGCATATAAAAGGCTGCCTGTTGGGATATATATATGTGTGTGTTGATAGGATATAAATAATATTTGCTGTTTTTCTTTTTAACCAAATGAAACCTTAACATGAATACAGCGTGATGAATGGCGTGAACATATTTATAATCTTTTCAAGGTGAAATATGTAATCAACAATACTGAAATCAGATTTAATAACAACATTACTTATTGTCTCAATAATATCACGTGATCAACGGTGTATAATTGCATTGATTCATTAATTAATTTATATAATAAGACGTATTAAACAGATCTAAGTAGATAAAACAAACATTATAAATTAATAGCCATGATAGTTGTCTAGTACATGAGAACCGCCCACACCTAACAGCGTGTCGAAATAATGGCAGATTAAAATTTGACCAATCATAGAAAAACTGTAAAGTAATCAATACAAATGATTGTGGATGTTAATCAGTACTGCACGATCTAACCTTGACCTTTACATAACCCTGCACGTTCAGACTTCCGTCTTGAGTGATATAAATAGCGACTGTAGCCTTCCTTTCATCGCACCATTTTTCCTGCTCTTCCATCATCGTCAAGTTGTCCAATCCGGTAAGTATTTATAGAGACCGTGGCTGATGTGAAATTCTAGATATAATTTTATATAATCATATTAATCGAAAAACAGTTAATTTAAAAACAAGTTATGGAAATATTGATTTCTAAATTTTATGATATTTCCAACCCTGTGGTTGTAAATGTAAATTATTGTGTAAATTAAATTTGAGATTCGTCGAGTAGCTTAGTGAAAAAACAAGAGAATACTGAAATGAAATCATTCATTCTCTAAATCGGTAGAAAAGGTAAAACTATTGAAAATATTGGCTTTGGAAAGAAAACGAGGATAATAAGATAAGTTATCCTAGAGGGTTATTTACATGACCGCCATGTAAAAGCTAGGTCGAATACATCAATGAGAAAGCTTCATGATAACGAAGATAAATAAAAATCATCCCACATAGCACACAGGTTGTTGGTAGGCTGTCGCTAATTGATTGTGTTGTATGTAAAGATCCAGCATTTTATGTGAAGGAGTCTCACTGCTACAAATTAATACGTTGGTCCTAGTCATTGTCTATATAACTTTACATGCAATATTTATATATCGTTAATTTTGATATCTTTTTCTTTAGTTGCTTGGCTAAGATGAAGATTAAACATCTACAGAACATGAAATAATCTTAGATGTATTCTGTCTTGTTGTTAGCCTATTATTTATTGAATAATACATATATAACAAAATCGACGAAATGATCACCTGATTTCTACTCTGTTCTATCTAAGTTAAGATGACATTGTGTTATCCAAAATACCGAGAATATTTCTTATTATTTGCTTTCGCCGTTTAGATAGTGATCTAATTCTATTTCCTTGTGTCCTATGTAGTTAAATGTGTTTGGTGCTCCTAAGTATACCTGTTGATTCCGTGGTTGTTTACCTTGTTCTCAAATGGTAACGTAAAATTGCTATTTGGATTGACCAACACGGCGGTTGTCGGTGAAACAGAAGACGCTTAAATCTTCTGCAACACCTGGTCATATTCTCCTTCTACTTTTTCTTGAGTTGCCGAATAAATCATGTTAATATTTTGCCCTATCGAATTTGAGTTTGGATTATGCTTATGTTAACATATTGGTATTTTCCTGGTTGATTTGATAAACAATATAAATTGGAAGACTGCACCTATAGTATTTATACAACCAGCTATATTTATACTGGACACTGGACAATATTCTTCTATTTTTCTATCAGGCGGAGAAATCAACTGAACAATTTTTTTCTGTATTTTGTTTTAAACAACTGAATTCAAATTGTATGATGTATTTTCTTCAGACAAACGAAAATGAACACCTACATCTGTGTGTGTCTGGCATCATGCCTGTTCGTAGCGGCGAGTGCTGCAGGTAAAATCCAGAGAAATAACGATGTTATTACATATATATATAATAAAGAAGAAGCGCTATTGTATCATTGTTATTATCATAAAGATAAGTCTCTAATGAGTCAAAACTCCCACTGCTGAACATGGCGCCGAACATTCGTTTAACGTTAACTTAAAAAAAAAAAAAAAAAAAAATGAAAAAAAAAAATCTTATTTAATTTAATGAATTTTTACAAAGTAATGGTTTTCGAGTTTCTGTTTGTTTGTTTTATTGTTCTATTATTTAAAATTTGATTAAGATTTGCCCTGTTTAAGTAATATGTCCATGAATTGGTACATAACAATTTCCGATACTCCGATATCTCAAAGATTGCAGCAAGGGACTTAATTCTTGTGGATAAAAAAAATCATATATTGCTATCCGAAATATATTTCGGTATTTTGTTAACAATTTGTAATGAATAATTAATTGTCAGTGTGTCACTCAAAACATGGCTAATTGACAGGATATGCACCTGGGGCTGTTAATGGATATGGAACTAATGGCGGAAACGGATACGGAAATGGAAATGGCGCCGGAAATGGAAATGGCGCCGGAAATGGCGGATTTGGATTTGGACGTAAGCTTGATTGTATTCAAATAATGATCCAATAAAACACATGTAATGTGAAAAAAATCTATGAAAAATGTTTAGTCTAAAATGAAAATATATCGAAGCATTTTTGTCTAAAAGAATCAGTCTGCAGGTGTCGTTTGTAAATCATGCTACAATCTAGCAGATAAATCAGCTGTAAACAGTGTGTGTTTGGTCAAAATGGTAATCATCACACTCCTGAATGTTGTTTACGTTTCGTTTCAGGGTATAGGAGAGCAGGTGAGCTATTTCATTTTTTCGTTGTATTTCCATAGAAAACATTTCCATATTTATATGCATAAAGATAAATCTATTATTCATATATGAAACATAATCAATCAGCACACGGACGTGTACGGTACGAATTATCACAAGATTCGAATAATTTGGATAACATGTTTCAAAAAGGATATGGAGGTGGTGCTGGAACTATGGGCGGTGGCTCTGGAATGGGAGGCAAAGGTGGATTCGGAGGTATGAACGGAGGCGGATTTGGAGGAAATGGCGGTGGAATGGGAGGTAAAGGTGGATTCGGAGGTATGAACGGAGGTGGATTCGGTGGAATGAACGGAGGCGGATTTGGAGGAAATGGCGGTGGAATGGGAGGTAAAGGTGGATTCGGAGGTATGAACGGTGGTGGATTCGGTGGAATGAACGGAGGCGGATTTGGAGGAAATGGCGGTGGAATGGGAGGCAAAGGTGGATTCGGAGGTATGAACGGAGGCGGATTTGGAGGAAATGGCGGTGGAATGGGAGGTAAAGGTGGATTCGGAGGTATGAACGGTGGTGGATTCGGTGGAATGAACGGAGGCGGATTTGGAGGAAATGGCGGTGGAATGGGAGGCAAAGGTGGATTCGGAGGTATGAACGGAGGCGGATTTGGCGGAATGAACGGAGGCGGATTTGGAGGCATGGGAGGTGGTAAAGGTAAATGTCTCTATATCCATCGGTCTACAGGGACTTTTGTTAATATCCTGTCTTGTTCGGAAGATTTCGGAAATATAAAGGTTTGTTGAAATTCTTTATATCGATTTTAATTCCTTATCAAACATCTGTTATTTGTTATATTTTTCAGGTTACTAGATGTCTTTCCTGTCCTCTTGAAACTTCAATTCATTGATACATTAAAACAATAAAGTATAATGAGCAGAAAATTCGTTATTGTTTTCATTCCAACAACGTTTGATTATCATTTTTAGGTTAATTTAATTCTTAAAGATGGAAATCTGTCAGAATTTTCAAAAGAGTTAAAAATGAAAAATGGCAATAATGTGTTCACGGTTAACATGTGATGTCTGATAACGTGCCTTCCGTGAACTACGTGTCTAGTGTCGTACAATAAACATTGTTATCAGCAGCGGAATATCAATATTCACAAACATCAACATAGATAAGTTGTACTAATGTACGACACTCTCTTGTTACTATCTTAAAGAGGAATTGTCATGAATGGCAACAGAACAGCTGTTATTCCTTCACCTATCGAAGACTCGACAGTGATATTAAGGTCTAAAGACCTGATACCTATCTAAGACTCGGCAGTAATATTAAGTTCTAAAGTCCTGATATCTATTAGGACTTGGCAGTGATATCAAGGTCTAAAGTCCTGATACCTATTAAGACTCGGCAGTGATATTAATGTCTAAAGACCTGATACCTATCTAAGACTCGGCAGTGATATTAATGTATAAATTTCTGATACCTATCGAAGACTCGACAGTGATATTAAGGTCTAAAATCCTGATACCTATCTAAGACTCGGCAGTAATATTAAGGTCAAAAGTCCTGGTACCTATTAGGACTTGACAGTGATATTAAGGTCTAAAGTCCTGATATCTATTAGGACTTGGCAGTGACATCAAGGTCTACTGTCCTGATACCTATTAGGACTCGGCAATGATATCAACGTCTAAAGTCCTGATACCTATTAGAACTCGGAAGTGATATCAAGGTCTAAAGTCCTGATACCTATTAGGACTTGGCAGTGATATTAAGGTCTAAAGTCCTGCGACCTATTAGAACTATCAAAGTTCAAAGAGATTGTGGTCTAGGCTTACGCCTTAGTTTTCCAACGCTGTTATCATTATTTCTGTTGACGTAAAAGTCACATACAAAGTCATTATTTGGTGTCCAATGTCATAATCTGAAAGGTTGATGGAGATATTTCCTATTTGATTGAATTATAATTGCAAAATTACGAGGCGACACATCACATATGACTATAATGTAGAGCATTTTATCTTCTCCTTCTGATCACCATTCTATTAATTGTAAATGGTCAGTCATGAAAGCTAGTTATAATCATCATTGTGCCATAGAAATGTCTTTAACATAGCTAATGTTTTAGATATCTAAGCTAAAATGAAGTAAGATAATCGGGTTTTACACGTCATGTGAACTAAACACACCCGAGTTTAAGTACTCATGTCTCGTCGTAAGCAGAAATTGTACCTCTGAACGAGTAGAGAAGAATGTAGCCTTTCTTACATTGTCTCGTGTTCCTAATTTACGTCTAATCCAATGAATGTTTATAGAGACCAGTGTGATTTGACATTTAGGATTTGATGTTTAATGATTATCATCTATACGAAAAAGATATTTTATACCATCAAACGATATTTATTATAGAATTAATGTGATAGAATAAAAGGATTATTTTGTAAACACTTTATTTGCGGATTTAACGATCAACATGATTCAAGGACACGATACATGAATAATCAGCACAAACTTCCGTAAAAATCTAATCTGACTTAATTACGTTAACCTTTTCCTTAATACGTAATAATTAGTACGTTCAATGTTACCATTTGAATATTTTTGACCAGTCTGACAAACGCTTTACTTAATGTACACTGTCTATGTTCCCCTCACAAATCTACAGTAAACACCTATTTCAGGGTGTCTTAAAGTATGGCTGGTGGTGAAAAACACAAAAACACCAACAAACTAGAAAAATCTTAATTCAAATTTGAAATAGATCAAATGAGGACAAAACAAGCCAAGAAGAAATATTCACATGGACACATATTAAGCTAAGAAATTAAGATCAAATGCTTGGGAAAGGAAAGTGTCTTCAGCTTCATCAACGACATGGGCTTTATAAATCTGAGTCTGTAATTTGATTATATCAAATCAAATGGAAACACAAGCATGATTAGCCACAAAAGAGCCCAGCAGTTATTATAATAAGTATCTAACACATCTTATTTCACACGGGGTGTTATTATTTAGAAATAGAAAATTTACAATACGGAAAACGAAATCATCATTTTTATCCTACAGCTTGGAATATAGTTCATGTTGATTGAGTTGGAAAAGAAAAAGAAATAGGACAAATGTGGAAGAGTCTGTTGTATCCTTGAATTCCAATTCTTGTGGGTATACATGTAGACACGGCCAATGAATCTATTGGAAAAAAATGCTTTTTACTTAATCGAATGTTTACATGAGATTGAAGTTAAATGATGCTGGTATGATCATGGCTAAACCCAGAAAAAGGGGAGATAGTAGATTTTATTTATTACAATGTCATTTTTTCGGTTTTGGTGATAATCCGAAAATTGTACAATATGTGTGAGAGAACAGATCGAGGCACTGACAAGCCCTTGATCTGTCCTCTGTCACACATATTGGCCTTGATCTGTCCTCTCTCACACATATTGGCCTTGATCTGTCCTGTCTCACAAATATTGACCTTGATATGTCCTCTGTCTCACATATTGGCCTTGATCTGTCCTCTGTCACACATATTGGCCTCGATCTGTCCTCTTTCACACATATTGGCCTTGATCTGTCCTGTCTCACAAATATTGACCTTGATATGTCCTCTGTCACACATATTGGCCTCGATCTGTCCTCTCTCACACATATTGGCCTTGATCTGTCCTCTCTCACACATATTGGCCTTGATCTGTCCTGTCTCACAAATATTGACCTTGATATGTCCTCTGTCACACATATTGGCCTCGATCTGTCCTCTCTCACACATATTGGCCTTGATCTGTCCTCTCTCACACATATTGATTTTGATACCAATATACCAATAGTCTGTTTTAGACGTAAGTATTACGAAATACGCTTCAGTATAGTTCACAACCATACATTTATACCATAGTTCACATTTCTTTGAAAAGAAAGCTCTTATAACAAGGGAACGAAGGCGTTTTTTTGTTCCAATCAGGGTATGGTAGTGAACATGGTGGTGAACATGGTGGAAAAATCAAATGTTCTTATAGAAGAAACGTGTTTTAGAAGAGGGTGTTGTATATTGGCCAAAAGCTAATTCAAGTGCTTCAAAATCCACATACTATTAATTCCACTTCCTGAGTAAACGATATGATAGAAAGACTGTAACCCGAATTTGATAGTACTTAGAATGGTAGTTAGTAATTTAGACAAAGCTTTGTTGACGATTAAGTAATAAAACGTTGTGTATATGGATTCTTTTGAAGTTAAGGGATCCAGTATAAATGGGAGAGGTCCGTATCCCTATCACTAATAAGTAATCTAAATGATTGTAATATGAAAGCATGATAAGCTAGTATTTCGTCTTTTGAGAGCTTGCATAATGTGTAGATGGGGTTTCATTCGTTATTAAACAACCCGGTTATTTTTTAATACAGGTAATGCAATACCGTTTGCAGACAAGGATCAAGTTACTGGACACCCTATCTTCAGCAGTCACAATAACAAACCTGCCATGTAAGTCTTGACGTGTGTATTTAACATCAGGATCGAGGAAAGCTGACTTGTGTTTTGTTTTCATTTTCGATTTCAAGCTGCAAAGTCTTTTACCAATGATGGACCGAATGGGTTTAACCCACTCAGAAAATTAATCCAACATGTTCTCCTGTCGTCCATTCTCTGGCATAGTTTTCAACAGAATTCATAAGTATCTGGAAATTCACATTGTAATTAACGGACGGGATTTCACGATATTTGGGATTCTTCATGAAAAGATCTCGTAGCTTAACATTTTGAATAATGCTTAAATCACTAGTTGTTATATGCCTAGTTGTAACATAGTTATCAGTAGAGATAGAATAAGTTGACGGAGTACTAGTTCTGAGGTCAACTACATTCACTTGCTGCAGCATTTGTTTGGTTGAAAGGTTTGTATGCATTGGTCTTGGAGAAATTGTTGGAAATTACAGGGGTGTTTCTACATTAATAGTATGGTGGAATGTCAGCCTGAACAGACTTCTGGTGCAAAATATTGCTGATGTTCATAGCATCAACTCCCTTATTTACAAACTAAGTTGTTGGAGGATCGCGGCCATCTGTACTTTTAACCTTTTTAGGTCTAAAGAGCCTGATTTGTGTCACATCATCAATAATTTTGTGAAGTCTCCAAGCTAGTTTCCTTAGGTCACGAACAGAAGTTTTAGCTGAATCCACTTGAAGCTTTTGTAGCACGTGGAGATGAAGCGAATATAACGTAGTTCGAACATGATGGACACCTAATGCTTGCTGTAAAGTATCCAGAAGACAAAATGTGAAGTGAAATGTATTCATTCTCTCCAGTATACCTGTTTACTTGCTGGTCTCGTTGACATAATCTGTCTTATAGTTTTCAGAAGGTGCATGATTAACATTGCAGGTGTAGTCCGTGATAGAGAAAACGCTCAAGAATCTGGTCATTCTCGTAGATTTTTCAGTAAACTAAAAATTCCTTTCTTGATATTTGAACCTATTTTTATTGAAAATTAGTCTGATTTACGATTTTGCTCACATTTTTTAGATCAGATTATGTAACAGCTTTAAAAAAATTTAAATGTTTTATAATCATAAAAAGACGCCTATAACAGTTACATTGGTTTCATTAATAAAGCCATATGCTATTAAAATAATGTAGATTATCTAATTATCTTAAAGTTTTTGAAATTTTTCAAGCTCCTCCATAAAAGTATGTATTCTATCAATATTTGTAAGCAGAACATCAATTTTGAATTTGAATAAAAAATCTGTTGATATATCGAAATCTGTTTTGCAAATCGACGAAATCTCAATGTCGAAAATGATTTTTGCAACTGTGTGTTGCTAACATAGCATGTACGTTTTCTTTGGTTGAAAACTAAGTATAGCTACGGTATTAAACCAATTAACCAATACAATTTCCGGAATACTTTTTACATTTTAATTTGATTCTAATTGCGGTTTCCATCTTTAATGTAGTCACAGTATTACAGGTTGTTTGGTAAAAAGTCTAGGTAGCTCTGATTTCCTTATATTTATATAATTATAATGACTGTGTATGACATCATGTCCCCGATGATACAAAAAGGATACTTTACTGAGGGTTACTGTTGCTTTCAATGCAGTGTTTGGTACTCTGTCGTTAAGTATGGGAGTAAGATATATATATTTGAAAAAAAGGCTTCCGAGTAAGCGAACAACATATCATTTCCATAAATGTATTCAAATAATGTTCTGTTGTATCTTACGATTAGATAGGCTGCCATGTCAACATTGGTAAAAACACAATGTTTTTTTTTATTCCAGTTATCAATGAAGATGTCCATTTTTGGATAAAGGTAAGGAAATAAAAAAGAAAGAAAAATATTTGTGGTTTCATTTCAATTTATTGGAATGTTTAAATCAACAATACATAACCGTTTGTTCCCGTTGTCCCTCCTTAGTATTTGGCACCTAAAAAGGATACATATCTATTAATAATTGACGTCAGCATAGTAACTGTTAGTTACTGTGTTTTCAGTATTGTGCTTCTTATCGCGAACAAAGCAATGGTTTTCTGACCTGTTTGAGAAATTTTTATTTGATTATTTTATAAATTTTGGTTTATAGATGCATTTTTAGTTGAAATTACTTCGCATACTCAGTGTGCTAAATAACCTACCTTCTTGTCCACCGAATCCTCCACTTCCACCAAAGCCTCCACTACCTCCGAATCCGCCACCATTGCTTCCTCCAAATCCACCGCTTCCTCCGCCGCTCATTCCTCCGAATCCACCTTTTCCTCCAAATCCACCATTACCTCCAAATCCACTGCTACCACCAAATCCACCACTTCCTCCAAGGCCGCCACCGTTCATTCCTCCGAATCCACCTTTTCCTCCAAATCCACCATTACCTCCAAATCCACCATTACCTCCAAATCCACTGCTACCACCAAGTCCACCACTTCCTCCAAGGCCGCCACCGTTCATTCCTCCGAATCCACCTTTTCCACCCAATCCTCCAAATCCGCTGCTACCCATACCTCCGAATCCTCCACTACCACTTCCTCCAAATCCACCACTTCCACCGCTGCTCATTCCTTCGAATCCACCTTTGCCTCCAAATCCACCACTACCTCCAAATCCACCGCTACCTCCAAATCCACCGCTACCTCCAAATCCACCGCTTCCTCCCAATCCGCCATCGCTCATTCCTCCGAATCCACCACTTCCCCCAACGCTTCCTCCTTTGCCACCAAAACCACCTGCATTTCCACCGAATCCTCCACTACCTCCGAGACCAGCAGCTCCTCCAAGTCGTCCACTACCTGCTCCGCTCATACCACCAAATCCTCCTTTTCCTCCAAGTCCACCACTACCACCGAGTCCACCACTTCCTCCAAACCCTCCACTGCTTCCGAAACCTCCACTTCCTGCGCTTCCCCCGCTGCCTCCTCCAAAACCACCACTTCCTCCGCCATATTTCCCTAAATCGATACATAACTTTCATTTAATGTATGGACGTAGAAACGCTTATTATTTATCGCTCAATTCTACAGGCTTCAGTGCTGAAATAATATTAGTTTTTATTCACCAAAAGTGAATGTATTGTATGTGAAAGGTAAAGGTAATTTCATGATCGATAGCTTATTTATGCAGGTTTGTACTGTTTCATTTACCGTCTCTTCCTAATTAAACATCCATGTTTACTTATAATCCTTTTAACTAATACTCGTATATGTAGCACATTCCATCTTACAATGATGGCAATTGTGTTGATTTAGAGTGTTGTTTGTTTTTTAATATTATTAATTTCATACTCTATCTTTGATAAACAGCGATCATAACATACCTTGCAAGTTTATATTTGGTAATTTATCTTGTTTAGATGTATGTTGATATTAAGATTAATGATAAATGACAGAAACAAGTGTGGTCATTCAGGATCATGTTGATGTTTTACGTCAATGTAATGTAAACCTACCTGCAGCGTTGACGCTGACCAGTAAGAGAGCGGTTAAACAGATGTAGGTATTCATGTCGCTGAATCTGAATGAAAGAGTAAGTAATGTATTAGGAATATACCACTAAAGACACACGTTTTGTTTAAAACATACATAAAATATTTGAAGAAAAATGAAGCAAAAGAATGGAAAACTGAAGTAAGAAAAAACTTTACAGATTATGAAAACGAAAAATTTCTTTTATCAGACTTGATATAAACATTTTGTATCAGTGTTTAAAAGCAATGTCAAAAATACACATGGTTTTACCTTGATTTACAGCTAAATATACATGTTAATTCTGTATATTTGAAAATGTAGTCTTTTCCTCGGAAAATCAATACACTTCAACGGAAATGTGATAAACGATAAAGTGGTTGCCTCAGCTTAAAGATATGGATATAAAAACGGTATAAGGTATTTACCTGTATTCACTTGCGTGCGTCTGTCCTTGGAAATGCAGAGGAGATTTGGCCTGCACACCATTGAACACGCAGACTATTTATGCTGGAGAAATGGAAATGACGTCACATGGTCACAAAGAAAAGCCTACGTAATCAAGATTTTTTTTGTGGTCAGAGATTTTCTGTACAGGAAACCACAGCATTAAACTGCCATTGCGTAACATCGCGTCGTTTGTAACTTTCCTTTCTATCAACTATTGTATAAGTAATCATTGTCCTTTAATTCTACTGATTGCTTTGTTGATTACAAGACAAACGTATGTACCCTTTACTGCAGTCTTATGTTAATTGCTCTGTTGCAATGAAAGGTGAATGTTAGGTTGAGGTTCCAAGGCAGGAAATGTACACGACAACGATGGGTTTATTTTCAAAGTAACGTAAGTCGCTCCTGTCTCCTATCTTAAAATTGTTGCATCACGCGATTGAAGTCTGAAGGAAAGCAAACGCATAGCACACAAGAAAAACATAAATTGATAAATTCAAGGAAGTCATTTGATATAATATACATGCATATGTAATATTTCATTTTGAAGTTTGGATTGCATTTCTATCCGTAGCAATTTGATTAATATTTGCTAAAGTAAAACGAAATATGCTAATTTTGCTGTCAACGATAAATAAAAACACATTTGTTAAAACATATTGAATTTATAAAAGGATTGAACAACAAGCCTAAAGTCTATCAAAGTTATCTTTGTTGCTTTCGGATATATAATATAAAATATACCTACAAAAATAACACAAAGGTTCATCTTTAGGCTTTAAACTCATCTCTCGACACATAAGGTATATGGATAGAACATAAATAAATCAATCAATAAAGAGTAAAAAAATACACGAATAAAAGAATATATCGATAAGTTTATGCAAAACTCATATGAGTCGAATGTCGGATAATCTCTCTCTCTCTCTCTCTCTCTCTCTCTCTCTCTCTCTCTCTCTCTCTCTCTCTCTCTCTCTCTCTCTCTCTCTCTCTCTCTCTCTCTCTCTCTCACACACACACACACACACACACACACACACCCTCACACACCACACACACACAATCACTCACACATAAATAATAATGATAAAATAACCTATAAAAGACATTATAGATTTATAACTTATCACAAAAACAGGTATACGGTATCCACAGAGAAGAGCTGGACATAGACAATATCCGTATTATTGATAGGGGTATAAATTGGCATGTCATTACTGGGCTGTGGAACAAGAGGGTTTCTTGGTATGACTATTTTATCTTAAATTTGACAGATAGTAGCTTGCATTTTTCTCTCTCTTCGACAGGTTTGAAGCAACAATAAATGCTAATCTTTAAACCTTCAGGCCTTATGGTTAAACCACGAAAGAAAATTTCTTGCATTTCGTGAAAAATAAGTCAAAAATCGAAATAAAACATACTAAGAAGGATGAGATTAACAAGATCAAGGGAATAATATAACGGATTCTTAGGATGGCAAGCAAGGTACTTAGATGAAGTGAATGCAGAAGGAACGAATTGCTATACCAATATGTGATATTTTTCGTGAAAAAAAAATCTACACAAAGTGTCCGGAGAGAAAGCATTTAAGTAAATATATTTAGAATGGTTACGTATATGGGTTCATTGGAAAGACCATTGCATGTTTTGAACGTGCAAAACAAGTGATATGTACAGATGTCTGTGTTCGCCAAGCCTTCGGTTAGACTTCTATAGCCATTTCCAGGCCGTCAACTTAAAGATAGTCATGTCCTGGATTGTGTTAGCTTGCGGAGATTTTGTACCTGTAGCGATTGTCATTCTATTAATGTGACATTTTCTGTGAGCTAGATTCAGAGTGAGCTTGTCGGTAAGTCCCTGAGGAAAATACAAATCTTAGGATCTTCTAAAACTTTATTTCCAATTGTACTAGCGGCTGTCCGTGAGACACTCAAAGGTACTGCAAGGTCACTACCAACGTTGTTGGTTTCATCGATCGTGAGGATTCTGGCGCGGGTAGGAGAGATATATTACGACACCTCTGACTCCTTAATTTGTGCTATATCAGCGCGACTATATGTGCAGAGTTGGTCATTGGAAAAATCTCAACTGTCCAAATTATAGCCACCCTAAAACTTGAAGTTAAGTATTTCTTTATATGTTTGATCGAAATCTATGTGATAAAAAAACTCTTAAGTTATAATACCATTAGTGTGTCAGGGTTCAAAAGCATTAACTTCAATTCGTTATTTCTATATTGCTATTGTTAGCCATCAAAATACAGCCACGTAAATGTACATGTTATTGTGTTAATCAAGTTGAACTGAATTGAATCAACCCAACAGTTTGGGCATAAGAAATTAACTGACTTATCATATTAAATTCGGTGATTGGAAGAATTGTCACGCAGGGTGACGCTACCATATATCAGTCAATTTAGGTTAGACTCGGAAGTTCATGTCGTTTTCAGGAGTGTTAATGTCGTTCATAAGCAGCTGCCACTTAAAATGTTTTCAACGGTCAGACCATTGTTTTAATTACCTAACACGTGGGTTTTGTTTTCTTGCCGTTTTGAAAGCGAAACGCCTTTATTTTCATTTTCGATTGCCATTGGTTTTATGCATCTTAAATGGGCAGGAAAATGTTCTACTAAGTTTTGTCAAGTTTTAGTTTTACGAATAGTCAATAGTATTCTCCGCATTGAAGTTGACACCAATGTTGTTCCACATCAAGCTTGATTCCCTTCCATATCTTCCATTTCCATTCAAGATTTTTCATAAAATTCCAAGATATCATTGTTTCACTCGCTTAATGTGTTCCTCAAGAGGTCGTATATATTCCTTTCAGATTTAGTTTGCAATACATACATGTTCTATTAGTATGCATAGATGTACGTAACAAATTGTGGGTGTGGAAAGATATATAATAGGCTTTCAATGAATTAGATAAACTGATTGAAATCTATCCTATCGTCCTGATATTTTTCACACATTTGATGCCCTCGTTGTTAAAGATGTTTTGTTTTGTTTAGTAATTTTATGTGAAATTCAGCTTGGTGACTAAGCAATATTTCTTTCTATGTGGAGTAAACAGATTGTCGTGAAAGTACGGCCATAAACAGACCAGCGTCCTGATTGGCATTTTATGAGTGTAGTGACTTGGAATGGAAGAGTCCAATAGATAGGTAGACTTCCTAACTTTCTGATTAGTATTGGGTTAAGATCTGCTTCTCGACATCAATGTGGCAGTCAGAGCTTGAGCTGGCGATCTAATAACTCAATATATTTGCACTTGGTCTGTACAAATCCGTTAAGGAATAATGATAAACTATTTGTAATATATAAATGTGTTATATTTGTTAAACATATTAAATAAAATATGTTAAAAATAAAAGAAATGAATCCTTAGAGATTTTTTCTTGCCTCTTAGCACTGGGCGTAATATACGCGCAAGCTCCTTGCTAACGTTTTGGTCTGATGGAACCTCACGCTCATATATATGTACATACGCACTACTCTGTAATTGCATAATTGTTCACAAATGTGTATAATCCCATGACACGTGTTACGGTTGTGTATTTCGTTGTAAATTAATATATATGCTCGGGTGCACTAGTCTTTCTGAAGATGTTCTTACTTATAACATATATAACGAGGTCATCTGGCCTTTCCAAGGCGACCTACATGTTATTCGATGGGTATTTAAGATGTTTACATAATCACGTGTAAGTGACCATTATTTGCTACTAAATCAAAATGAATAATATTAAATTAAATAAAGGAGTTAACTTGGTGAGTGAATAGAATTAATTTTGTTTTGTTATCGAAAGCAATACATTTACGATTGGTTAAAAAACAAGAAAACAGTTGAGGTATTCGATATGCAATACATAATTATATCACATACAGGAGATATGAAAATCTCATCTATTTCCATAGGCCACAAATATATATCGACAAATAAGTCTATACAAGGTGAACTCTGGTTATCATATTGTACTGTTAGTATTATATTGCTTTTGATGAGCTTGTTGGTGTAAAGTAACGGAGTTTCTGATAAGTTCATTGATATCAAATCAAGATCACTTTATATGTATAGTGTTACTGAGATTTTGATGAGGTTTGTTGATAGACCTTGTGAAATTAATGTCCGAAAGTGAATCCGATGCCTGCCGTCGTTTCACTCACTCCCTAATCAAACAGTTTTTATTTCCTTGCAATTATCCTGATTTACGTTATGATGAATTAGTTTAACGATATTTAGACCCATTCATGGAATGCTCTCTTGCGTTATATTTTAGAGATTTTGTAAATTCTAAGGCCAGTGATTCTATTTCAAGCTTGTCAATATTTGTAATGATTATCAGAACAAGAACATTTCCGAAAGAGAAGTTGTCAGAAGGTCTTAATTCTATAGTTGCAGTCTCTGACTGTTATTTTCTATCAGAACTGTTGACTGCAATATAGTTGAGCTAACTGAAAGGAATGACAGGGTATTACCGTTGTGAAAATATAATGAAATGTTAGCTTAGATGGACTTTTGGTGAACAATTCATGTATAATAGTTTTAAAATGTCATATGTTGCAACCAATTTTCCAAACATATCTTGATAGCATACTGAACATTAAATTGGAGGAAGACTTCTTAAACATACGTCAGATAATCCTACCTATTTTGAACTACTCTGAAATATTTTCCTTTCAATGTAACTTTTGCTTATATGTTCAGTGTGACGATTTCCTTGACATGTTAAACTTTATGAAGGCAATAAGTGATTGTTCTCACTTGCCTTTTATGAGTCAACACTTTATACCCGCTGCATAATCCAAAACCGGACAAAAAAGGTTGATAATGCAGTTAAATTAATCATTTGGCTATGCTGCATTTAATTATTAGTTCATATTGAAAAAAAATTGTTCATTTCTGCGTCTTTGGTAAATCAGTTACGGGCGCCATCATGATGCTGTTTTTTTATTGATAATATTGTATAATATGAAGTTACATGTGTTCGATGCTCATTAGTGTACATGCTTTCCTGTGGGTTAGTTATTGTAATCTGTCTTCTAGTTTTGAGATTGTGCCATTACTCTGACGTTTTAATATGTGCAGTTTTAACAATTGCCAGTATACGCCCAAAGTGTCGATGACACTGTATATTTTTTTTCTCGAAAACAATAAGTTAAAAAAATTCCTTACTGGTGTTGTCCATGAAAGAGAAAACACTCATGAATCTGCCATTGACATCTCATAGATTTTTTCAGTGTGACCTTAAATATTTCCTTTCTTGTTATTTTGTCCTGTTTTTGTTGATCATGACACCGACTTACTGTTTTTGTTTACTTCTTGCTATTCAGATACTTCGATTTTGTAATAGGTCAGTACATTCAGAAGGTTTCATGACCCATTTTGTTTTTTAAAAGACGACAAGAAATGTTACATCTTCTTGAACAAAGACACATGTCATGGTAATGATGTAGTTCATACACCAGTACACAAACGTTTCAAGCATATCATTCATATCAATATTCTTGCCGCCGTTACATCAATTTTGAATATAAATTAAAAATCTGTTGACATATGGGTATTTGTTTCCAAATTGAACGAAACGCCAATAAAAAAAAATGAAACTATTTTTGATTTTCTTTTTCAATTTCTCTCCTGTCCCTCTCTGTTTTACTAATTCTGTCACTGTTTGTAACCCACTTTTGATTTGCATTTTCTTCAGTTTTAATACACCCATGTTTAAGCAATAAATCACAACGATTTTCGAAATATGTCTTTAAGTGTAATTTGAATCTGACTTTATACAGATACACAAATAACTGACTCGGGTTGTCGTCTTGAAGATGTCATAGTGCTGCAGGTAGAGTGGTAACAGTTCGGGTGTCTTTGATTAACTTAATGATAATCATTGTAAATAAGATTATGCCCAAATAATTCCAATGGGATAATTTGCCTATGTTTACTTATGTTTTCAACGTGCTAGGCGTTTGAGACTTTGTCCTTTACCACCATAACAACACCATAACAACATAAGTGACTTTATACAAAAAAAAAAAAAAAAAAAAAAAAAAAAAAAAAAAAAAAAAAAAAAAGATTTTAAGGTTAGAAATCATCATATTCAAAACTATTTTTAGAAATAATGTTCTGTTGTGTCCTGCTATTAAGAAAGTCACCAGGGAAATATTGCTCAAAGCATAGCCTCCAAATGCTGTATACCGTCATCTTTGATTCTTGTAATCTCAGATACGAAGTTGATTTCACTTCTTTGATAAAGATAATTAAATAATAAAGAAAGAAACAAAATTTAGTTTTCTTTTCAATTTATTAAACTATTTATTCAAGAACCAATTATTAGTCGTTCCCGTTGTTTCTCTTTAGTATTTGGCACCTAAAATAGAAAACACACACATCAATAATTGATCTCAATGCGTTAAGTGTTACCTTCTCCGCTCTATTATTAGTGTATCTCTTATCTCGAAAGCAATAATAGTTACTAGCGATATTTGGAGAATATCGTTTTATATCAACTTTTATATATTGCATTTATAGATCTAATTTCAATTGAAACTTCTAAATATCTTACCTCCTTGTCCACCGAATCCTCCATTTCCACCAAAGCCTCCATTACCTCCGAATCCGCCACCATTGCTTCCTCCAAATCCACCGCTTCCTCCGCCGCTCATTCCTCCGAATCCACCTTTGCCTCCAAATCCACCATTACCTCCAAATCCACCATTACCTCCAAATCCACCATTACCTCCAAATCCACCATTACCTCCAAATCCACCACTTCCTCCAAGGCCGCCACCGCTCATTCCCCCGAATCCACCTTTTCCGCCCATTCCTCCAAATCCACCGCTACCCATTCCCCCGAATCCACCTTTTCCTGCCAAGCCACCACCACTCATTCCTCCGAATCCACTGCTTCCTCCAAATCCACCGCTTCCTCCCAATCCACCTCCGTTCATTCCACCGAATCCACCATTTCCTCCAAAGCTTCCACCTTTTCCACCAAAACCACCTGCATTTCCACCAAATCCTCCACTACCTCCGAGTCCAGCAGCTCCTCCAAATCCTCCATTACCTGCTCCGCTCATACCACCAAATCCTCCTTTCCCTCCAAATCCACTACCACCGAGTCCACCACTTCCTCCAAACCCTCCACTGCTTCCGAAACCTCCACTTCCAGCGCTTCCCCCGCTACCTCCACCAAATCCACCACTTCCTCCGCCATATTTCCCTGAATCGATAAATAACTTTACTTGAATATATGAATACAGAAATGCTAATAATTCATCAATTCACTTGAAGAACAATTCCAAAGTCTTTAATATTTAAACAATGTCAATTTTCAACCACAAAAGTGGAACGTTTGAAGCCATAGTCTCGATTTGTTCGAAGTTAAAGATATAGTTGACACAAAGGGTGTTTTCATGATCGATATATTATCAATTCTGTAGAATGAAGGTTTATTTAAAATCCTGATGAGTATCGCTCACATATATAACACATTTTGGCTGATAAGGATGCCGGTTACATTAAGTTTGCTTGTTTTTAAATATTATTAATTCGATAATTGATACTTGATAATTTAAAGACAGCGATCAAAACATGTTTTACTCTCTCATACTCGACACTCGCCATATAAATCTTAGTCAGTGCAAATAAGGAACATCAGGTTTTCAAATGAGAACAGAGTATACAGCAAGGAAACGAATAAGCAAACTAATGAGCATCAAACACACCCAGTTTCATATATGAAAAAAGAATATTTATCAAGGAGATCACTAGGACGACCGAAAAAACTTCCCTATGATTTGTAACAACCTGCATCTTTTGAAACCCCGTGTTACGAGTTTGACCGTTAGTTGACGACAAAAATCAGGATAATGGGAACATGACCTTGTAAACCTACCTGCAGCGTTGACGCTGACTAGTAAGAGAGCGGTTAAACAGATGTAGGTATTCATGTCGCTGAATCTGAATGAAAGAGTAAGTAATATATCACAATACATCTTATGGTGATTATCCGTGATATTACAGCAATAATCAAAAATTTAGATTTAATAACTACATATATAAATTTTGATTTAGTTTTGGTCTCTACTTTACACATCACAGAATATTTAGAAATTTAACTTAGTGCAGAAAAAAATCTTAAAGATTATGATAACGAAACAATTCTTTACTCATGCCTTCACAATAATTTACAGCTAAAAGTATTTTTGGATACTGTACATTTCAAAATGAAATCTTAACTTCTGAAAATAAATGCAACTAAAACAATTAGTTTCCTTAAACTGTAATATTATAAACGATAAAATTGTGACTTTAGCAAAAGGGAATTAATGTATTGATATTATATAAAAAGATCCTAAATTAATTACCTGTGTTCACTTGGGTGCTTCTGTCCTTCGAAATGCAGAGGAGATTTGGCCTGAAAACCATTGAACAGGCAGACTATTTATACTGGTCAAATGGAAATGACGTCACATGGGCAGAAAGATAAAGCCTAATAATGAATCTTTTTTGTGGTCAGAGATTTGCTGTACAGGAAACCACAACTTTAAAAGTGCCATTACGTAACATCGCGCCGTCTTGTATTTAGCCTTTCTGACAAAAATTGTATCAGTAATCATGGTCATTTAATTCCAGAGAAGGCTTTGTTGATTACAAGACAAACGTATGTACCCTTTACTGCAGTCTTATGTTAATTGCTCTGTTGCAATGAAAGGTGAATGTTAGGTTGAGGTTCCAAGGCAGGAAATGCACATGACAACAACTGATGTCTGGTTTATTTTGTTTTCCATGTCTCCTTTCTCCAGATTGTTGCATCATTTTATTGAAATCTGTATGAAAGCAAATACTCGGACCGCATTAACTCCCAGCACTACTATTAGTTATTTGGTAAGAGTATTGATAAACTTATTTAATTTCATATACATATATGTGTAATATTTTATAATGAAGTTTTTATTGTCTTGCTATCCGTAGTTACGTATTCACATTTGCAAAACAATGAACTGAACAGGTGGGTCAATGATGAAAATAAAGTACAGAAGGCAATATAAATTAATAATCAATTGCACAACTCAAAATAGACATATTTTTACTATATGGAAGATGTCGATATAGAATGTACTATTATTCCTTTGCACCTGATCTTATAATCCTTGTACGTACTAGGAGTCTCCGCGTAAATCATTCTTTTGTACATATTCTGCCCTAGTTTTATTTTAATTTCTTGTTGCTTCATAGAGGGAGTATGGATTGACATGTTAAAGATGTATCATGCGAGGTTTTCTTGCACAGGTTTTCTACTTATTGACAAGTATAAGCTAGACAGGTTTAACTTTTGATTTGACAAATGGTAGTTAGAAACTTTTTTCTCTTTGACAGGTTAGACTATCCATTGACAGGTACAAACGAAGATATTTACTTTCGAACTTGTTGGACTTCGTAATTACTACCTGAAGAGATATATTTTATCTGGCTAGTTTGACTACTTAATGAGATGGAAACTAATACTAGTTTATGCGGTTTTGTGCAGGGTTCTCTTGCGCAGGAAAACATAGAACAAAACTACATTTGGAGTGTTCTTAGACGCAGGAAAGCATCGGGCAAAACTATATTCCTTGATCTCGATATCAAAAGCAGACTTAATTTTAACAGAAAATATGTAATTGATTGAAGCATGTTATAACTGTATTCTTGTCACAATATAAAGAAGGTTTCATGCTCGTGCAGTTGTTCAACCAAACGCTTATTCAAGCTTCATGCTGCCATATAATATAAATATATAATTTAAAAATCTCGTTTTACGGCTGTAGGTAATGAAATAGAAGGGGAGGCTTTCAGATAATTTTTTGTTGGCTACGAATAATCAACGAAATGGTCCGGAGAGAAAGCAAAGGAAAGAAGTGGAAACAAATTGCCGGTAAGACTAATGCATTGCACAGGATAGTCTACACAATAGGTCGACGAATATCATATTTCCATCTTATTCAATCTAGATTTGCATTTAATGATTTTGATAAAAGTTTTCATGTTTTAATATTATATGGTATCGTCAGTGTCAACAAACAGTCGCGGGATTTAAACCTTCTGTGCATACTTGATGATATAAACTATAAGACTAATTTTCCATTGGAAAAGAGAATACATTTAACAAAGTCTTTTATGTCTATAATAACATAGATATATTAACGGTGAAATTATACATTGTTGCCTCAATCAAATTAAATTCTATTTCATAAATGTTTTCAACAATTAACTGTTTCAAAGTAGCGCTCGTTTATATACTCCGGATATTAGTCATCGCCGATGCGCATAATCAGTCATATTTGTACTGCGAACCCTTTGCGTTTTAACAGGAGTGGCCATGTTGTTTTGTCACGTGACATATTGTAAACATGTTAATTTTCCCTTAAAATTTTTCGTTACTCTTGTGTTTGATATTGAAGTGTCGTCATTGTCGTGGATCTGGTATATTGCGTATTAGTCAATTGAGAGAACAACATATCCATGCATTAGCTGTTATAAAATCAGCAATGCAGAAGACCATCCACATGTTCCAAGCCTTCGGACATTTTAATCGTAAGTACCTGCACTAATATAATAATTAATACATTATAACCATTTATTGATTAATGCTAATCAACATATCGATTACTATTTTGTGGGAATTTTTTTTCAAAATTAATGTTTATAAATGTATGATATAACGCCTTTGAATCCATATAATTTGCTTTAACTATACATTTGTTTGATGTGGTATAAACTTGATAGTCAAAGAAATTGATTTCTGAGGGAACGGTCTACTGTATGTAATGGAAAGATGCATTTAATCTGTGTGTCTTCTGTACAGTCTTCGAGATTGCAGACGGTAGACACTGTTGGTGGACTTTCAGTCCATGGTGAGCTTCGAAGAGGTTATCAAAACTGGTCACCAGCACATTTGGAAGTTTTTCAATTTCACTTTAACATCCGATTACTATATAGAAGAGGTTGATATAGAATGTACGTTTCTATGAAGATGGACGTTTTTCTGGCGGTTTGTATACCTGTCTGTTTCGTTGTTGTTTTCCGTTTACTCATTTGCGAACTTATTTTGACTTACCAAGATTAGAATGGCGGATGTCGTCCTAGTGCTTTTGCAGGAGTCTCCGAGTATTTTTGTCATATTTTGCCTTAGCGTTATTGCATTTTAATGTGGAATTACATTCTCTTGACAAATATACATTTTCTTCGTTGCTTTTTTTTATCAAAAGGTATCTACCATGTTTTAATTGATTTGACAATACCGACCTTTAAAATCACCGACGAGTCCCAGGAGGATTATGCATAATTATTTGGCTCCACTGTATCCGATTTTTAGATAAATATTGAAAGTTGCCATTTACTTGTGTTTGACATAAAATGGGTCAATTACTTATCAAGAATATTCATTACTAATTCTGAAAAGCAGTCAAGATGGTACAAATATCGATTTTCGGTATACTCAGAGATACAACTCGATAAAATCCTTTCACATTTATTAAACAAAACTGAAAGAAAATGTCAATAGCTTAAAAAACTTGAAGCTGTAAAAGACATGAACACATCAAATGAAAATTGGGATGGGAGTAATAAGTGTGAGTTTTAGATCTGCAGAGAAATCAGTTATTTCTGTAAATAGAGTTTTCATGAATGGTTTTCATTCGTTTAACATGGGGGCTCTTTAAAGACTTTGACAAAAACGCATTTGCCTTCCTTGGGGCCATTGATACAAAATGGTTCTGTCGTGTTAAACATATGGGATAAGGTTGATAGGTAATGAAATATAAACAAAAGAAATAAATCCCACAACTGTAGCTGCATGAATAGCAATATCTTTATTATCAACAATAAATAAAACTTAAGTTATCAAATATACCTGAGCACTTCACCACCAGATACATATTATAACAAAGGTAAGATCGACCACAAGAACAATTGCGTAGGCATACAGAGATATTAATTTCTTTACTTGTAGTAAAACATTGCAGAGACCATGAAGTTATATTTGCCTATTTCTTCAAAGGAAATATCACTACCGTCACCGCCACTACATCTGTAGCTAATAAATATGTTCTACATTGCTTTTTTTGTTAATTTTCTGTTTGATTAATTTCTTTCATAATATAGATAAGACAGATTATATATCTTTGTCTTCTATATATGGATATCATTTCGTATCACATTTCAAACTCATGTCCTTTATATCACTTGAAATAGACACGAGCATCCTTTAACAAGAGTTTCTACGGAGCCCGTTAACTGACATGCTCCATACTTATTTTATTTCGATAAAACGAACGAAATAATATTTCCAAAAAACGAATTAATATTTCGTTTAAACGAATTATTATTTCGAAAAAACGAAATTAAAATAAGTATGGAGCATGTCAGTAAACGGGCTCCGTAAGTTTCTCTATTCTTTTAGAAGTTCTAATTGTTTTTTCTTTTCTTTATATTCTGGTAAATATAATTGGAACATTTCCAAAATATATAATATTTTGCTTTTTTCAAAATTGTACAAAATCCTTCCAAGTGAAAGGACATTACAATGTGAATTTCGAATTAGATAGAGTCAAATAATGAATTAAATTGCATCATACAGCTACTCCTTTCTTCAATGACTCGTCATTAATGCTAAGAACCCAAACTGTAAAATCTATGACTAAGGAAAAGCAAAGTTGCACGAAAAAATATCAATACCTGGATTAGGAGTATCACTGGCCCTAAAATCTCATATTATTCCATGCCTCTTTATAATAGCATTGTCCGTTTTTGACTGACTGGTAAATTATCAAGAATTTGTTTTTTATGAACGTTTTGATATAGAGGTTTGCTGTAGAACACATAGCTTTAACTTTGTGGTAGTTTCGTACAATATATCCGGTAGAGTATACATATTTATATCATATATCGAAATAACGTGTGAGCAAAACAATGTTTTCAACGGTTTGGTGTATACCCCGTGCATTGAAATAAAATCAAATTTCAATCTGTGAAGGATTCGAGATAAGTTTTTTTCCCGACCGTAATATTTAGAACAGCGCATGCTAACAATTTCATTACCGAACATTTAAAGAGTCACTGATGCAGTATCTGAAGGGAAACGTGACATGCTTTGTTATGGACATTTCAGTTGAAACAGTTCTGGTTTATTCTATTGATTTACAATTTTATTTCTTATTCATTGATTTTAGTTCGATTAATTAACCTAAAAAATCTAAAATTATTTTTGCATCATATAGTTGTATCGTCTCGGACTCGTCGTTGATGTCAAGAGCTCAAAGCGGCTGAGAAGGAAGGCTATAGCTCGGAAGAGTAAGTGATGCCTTTCTTGAGAATTTGTTGTGCTGAATAGTGTTTGGTTTGCTAGTTTTCAATCTCAGGCCTGGTAAATATTACCTCCATGTTGAGCGATCGTATTAATAATTAATAACAAACCTACATTAAAATGAATTGTAACTTTTGGTAGGATGGATTTTTTGAAGTTCCATTACAACATTGCTTTGAATTATAACTTGAAGAAATATCTTTCCATCAACGACTACTGCGCTGAATTTGCTATTAGGTTAAGCTTTTCTGATGTTGCAGAAAGAGTGTTTTTGAAAGTGATTTCTTTGATAAGAGCACAAAAGGTGGGTACTACCAAGACATTGTATAAATCAGAATCAATACGACAAATAAAGGGAGTGCAGGTGTCTAAAATATCTATGTCACTGTGCTCTGACAGAAAAAAAGATGAAAATGAAACCAATGAAAACAAACAAATAAGCACACATTAATCTAACATTGCTCTTTTATTAGCTACATGTACCAAAAAAGTGGATGTAATCGAACTGCCGTCAAATTAATATCCTCCACCTGAAAAAATTAAATAGAGCATACAGGCATTTCAAACTTTATGGATTCTAAGTACATTATTTTTCATACCGAAGATGCAGTGTAATATTATGTAATCAATGAAAAATACAAAATCAAATACAAGATAAATACAACATGTTAATAAGATAAGGTATATACCTTATGGATCTGAAATATATACATCATCTTTCTTCTCCTTGACATATCAGTAAATGTATGTGACCTCTACAGCAAATCTAGTAATATAATCATTCTCGTATTTTATTAAATGGGAATTAAATAAACATACCGATTCTGCCGTTTCCACCTCCCATTCCTCCAAAAGGTCTATCGCCCATTCCTCCGGATGGTCCACCTCCCATTCCTCCGCCCATTCCTCCTTTTCCACCGCCCATTCCACCGAATGGTCCTCCTCCCATTCCTCCAAAAGGTCCACTGCCCATTCCTCCGAAGGGACCACCTCCCATTCCACTTCCCATTCCTCCTTTTCCACTTCCCGATCCACCGAAGGGTCCTCCTCCCATTCCACCGAAGGGTCCACCTCCCATTCCTCCGAAGGGACCACCTCCCATTCCACCTCCCATTCCTCCTTTTCCGCCGCCCATTCCACCGAAGGGTCCTCCTCCCATTCCTCCGAAGGGTCCACTTCCCATTCCACCTCCCATTCCTCCTTTTCCGCCGCCCATTCCTCCGAAGGGTCCACTTCCCATTCCTCCTTTTCCACCACCCATTCCACCGAAGGGTCCTCCTCCCATTCCTCCACCCATTCCTCCTTTTCCACCTCCCATTCCACCAAAGGGTCCTCCTCCCATTCCTCCGAAGGGGCTACCTCCCATTCCTCCACCCATTCCTCCTTTTCCACCTCCCATTCCACCGAAGGGTCCGCCTCCCATTCCACCGAAGGGTCCGCCTCCCATTCCTCCGAAGGGGCTACCTCCCATTTCTCCACCCATTCCTCCTTTTCCACCTCCCATTCCTCCGAAGGGACCACCGCCCATACCGCTCATTCCTCCTTTTCCACCGCCCATTCCACCGAAGGGTCCGCCTCCTGTTCCACCTCCACCCATACTTCCTCCCACACCACCGGACCCACCTCCATATGTACCTGTTCAAATAAATATTCACCCATAGTGATTTAGAATATACAATCTAGGTTTTCATCTTTCAATACCAATTGCTTACTAATTCACCAAAACGGATTTTCACCAAACGGATATCATCAAAGGTTTCCGTGAAAATTGAAATATTTTGCACTCTCTTGTTTCATCGATTTTGAGTTTGAACTAAGAAGCTGTTTCGGGTTTCCTTGTTGCTTTTATATAATTATAACCCAATTCTGATAATAGTAACATATTTGACCAATTATCCTTTAACTAACTCATTCGTCTCTTGTGAGCCTTTTAGCATATTTATTTTATATTACTGTTAATATCAATTATGATGAGGTAAGTATACAGATAATTAAGTAGTTATTAACATGTTTTTACTACATATTCGGTCAAATAACAAATTCAAGAAGCCAATGGTTTGAAAAAATGATCTTGATGATATGCAAGCGTTCCGCATTCGATACCAATAATTCAATCATATCAATCCTTAAAATTCTACTAATTTGGCATCAAGTGAGCAAAAAAATCATATCAAAGAAATATATCACTCACTGAAAAGTTTACTAAAATTTTAAGCATGTAGGGTTCTCACCAAAAAACAGTGATAAAGGTTAGTCAGAAAGTAGCTACATGTATGCAAAATAGGAAAGGATTCGGACCAACTTGCCGGATCTGTATCATTTTCTGAATATATATTTCACAGTAAACACGAAAACTCAAATATCATGGACCATTGGATCTAGATTAAAACATTTTGAATTTTATGAAATAATCTATTTCATTGATTTTTTCCCTTTTTCTTACATTTTAACGAAATGACAGCTTAAAATTTCATGATATATCTAATATTATTTCTGCCTTATTCCAATTAAACAATTTTTTCCAGAAGCATCGTATTTGGAAAAACATATCCTTGCTAACAACCAAACAGATAATCGTAAATGTTAATGTCTATTGTATTATGTGAGTTCAATTAATACTGAGAATTTAAATCAAAGAATTCAAACTTGATTCTTACTTGTGAAAAAGCAGATATTTTTTCATTGTTATAATATAGTAAAGTATGCACTTAATCAATTTATAGTTATCTGGAAGTATTGAAAAAATACACATTAATCAATGTTTCCTTTGTGACAAAGGTCGTCACGCCCAAGGTATGGGGGCTAGTCAACAATGTTGTTCACGCGCTTTGCTCCCCCGAATTGGCAGACATGATTACAGTTTTCATAGCTAAACTAGAAAAATGTAAAATAACAATTTTCATTCTGTTTGCATTTTATTCTCTATCCTCTACACAAAAATGTGCATTTATTCGACTTTCAGTAATGTTTTACCCGCAAGATTTCATATTCGATAATTTAAAGTGTGAAAGAATCGCCTTCATGCCCGTAAAATTAATAGTGTCCTGATATAAATCCTATTGGAATGAAATCAAACTTACCTGCTGAACTAACAGCCACAATAAGGCAGAAAGCTAGACAGATGAAGGCATTCATTTTAGTTAACTGAAATATAAGAAGGTTAATAAAAGTTAAAACTAATATTTAATTCAAAATTATAAGTTAAACTATATAATCGTACAGTAGTTTCTAATCCACATGGGTTTTTTTATGAAACAAATAAAAAAAAACAGAAAATTAAATTAAAAAATGAGTATTTTCGTGACGAGTATCATCACTCTCATATGAATACTTCATGTATAATTTTGTAAATCACATAACTTAATACTTCGCAATTGCAACATTGTTATACATCATAATAAAGTTATTATGTAATTAAAACAAACCTCCATCAATCCTTTTCTTAATGCTTTATATCAACAAATTAGAAATAGGCTTATCAATCTCTAATTGATTGTACTGTAAAAACGATTTTATTTATTTAAAATGATACATAGGGAACGGTTGTTAACCATTTTAATGACGAGTTAATGATAAATTTGTATTATATCAAATAAGTCGTAATGCTTAAAACATGAAACATGTCATTGAATGACTGCGGGAAATCATTTTTATATGAACTAAATAAATGTAACCTGAAGAGAATGCTCTCTGGGGATGTAATCGCTTCATGCTATCAAATTCTATTTCACCTACTTACTCTGATGGTAACGTTTATTACAAATTTAGGAAAGAGTAATTAAATTGTGTAGACCATTAACTTAAAATTATAGATGTTATGCATTAATATTCTTACAATTTGATCAAAAATCAAAACTGTTTACATTATGTAAAATATTGTATCATATCGTTGATATCTTATTACATGTTTAATTCTCTTACCAGTTCTCGTACTAGTGGAGACAAATCGGAGTCGATGTGGTGAGGAGAATGACACATTGGGAGGATACAATCAAGTATTATTTATACCGTGCATGACGTAAGTCTATACAATTGTTAAGGAAAAGATCAGCTTGTTAAGGTCAATTTACCATGTACTTGTTGTTATTTATTGACGCCGGTGTAAACAAGGACCACATTTCAGCGCAAAGGCTGTACCATTATTGTAAACAAAACACAGAATTTGCACTTTTTGTGTCAGACACATTCCGGGAAGCATTTCCCTAGTGACATTATCAGCGCGAGGCACGTAAGAGCCGTTAAGAGATATATTTTATCTCTGATAGATGAACAGGTTGTGTTCTACATAACATGCTGAAGTTGCATATTCATCCAATCATTACATGTAATTAAATCCAAGACCTTTTTATCATTGTAAATGTTCAACTTAAAACATCAGGGCGTACAAATTATATTGTCTTGTTTAGTCAAACCTGAAAGATGTTTTGTATTCAATAATAAATTATCAATGTTTTAAAGAAGTTTTCCTTTCTATAATAGCAAAACAAGGTTTAAACAAAACGTGCTATGTAGCTCAGGTTGACATGAAACTCCCACGTACATGTACATGCTCTGAAATTTTTAAAAAGATAATGAAAACGATCATTTGTGATGGGACAGAACATACGTAAGTATCTTATTTGTTTTGTTTATTAAACTGAATATCTAATGAGATGTTTATTTCATCTCAATATAAATAGATGAATACAGAAAATGTTTTCTTGACTGAAAACTTTCTTTAACAGTTCAAAGTGACATTATGATGCTATAATCTTGTGGCTTCAACAGTTTCAATTTTTTCGATCTTTTTACATTCTGGGATTGGGAAAAACAAGAAAATACCATCATGTCAACATAATTGTAATCCAAACACAAATTAATTGAGTCTTATGCAAAATATAAACAAAGAAAAGGTCTACTCAACGTCTCCTGAAAAGATAAAAGGATGAGATCAGGTGTTTCGGAAGAGTAGGTGTCTTTAGCTTCATCGACGACACCCTCCATGTAAACATTGGTCAATCCAAGTAAGTTGAATAAAACCCTAGTGTGCGTTCACATTATGTTTCTTCCTTGTTTTATACGCGATGCAACAGTGAACAAGTTCATATGTCGCATTCTACCCATTTTTATTAATATTTCCAAGAAACGGACATGTGATTCTTATCATTTGTCAGTTGGCTGTTGGCATTTTTTACAACAAATATAACAAAGAACAATGACACTTTTGAAAAGTAATTTTATTCAACGAGAAAACATCTAGAAATACAGAAAGTTGAAGCTTGAAAACATCGTGATAGATATAAGAACTTTTGATTACAATAAATTATATTCTAGGGGAGTTTAACCGCATCTTCAGAACCTTCGTCCATCTATGGCCCTTTGAAATATATAGAAATATGGTTTTCTTATTTGCAACCTAACGATTCAATAAGTGTTATCTTTAAAATCCTTAATGATACATTCCCCCCATCATTATACTGCCGAACGGAAAATAGCCTCGGCCCATTCCACTCATGCTGGTGTCGTCACCTTTGTAGTTAAACTGCCATTCTCCTAGAAAAGAATGAAACAAAACATAAGGTATGAAAAATCTAATCAAAGGAATACATTTTCGTCCAAAAACAAGAAGCGGAAATTTGTTACACTTATATAACTTTTCAATATAATCCTGAGATGGCAAGATGAAGATGAGACTAATAATTGGTGCGAAAACAACATGAGGTGAGAATATCCCGGTTTATGGTATCTGCTAAACAAATCAGTGTAAAATATTGAAAGTAGACTAGGTTATAGATTAGTGCAAATCCTCAAACATATATCGACACTTGTTCGGCCAAGTTCGCTTTTCCTGGTTTCCACACCTTAGGCACACAGCATCACACCCAAAGTATGAAGGAACGAAATGCAATTTATTTGTGTATTGATGTGTTACATGCATATATATCTGTTGTACATCACTCGTTACATTCTCCAATAATTAATGCCCTTAAATCAACATTATAAAGACTAATGAATAACGTTGGCCGCGATAGATACAACTGCAAGCACTGAAAACCACATACCTCCATCCCCTCTCCACATATCCTGTGACAATACTGTAGAAGCTGTCAGAGTGACAATAAAAACCACAGCAAAACAGAACAGTTTCATTACAATCTTCTGTAAACAAACAACAAAATAAAAATGAATAAATAAATATATATGTATAGAAACAGCCGATGATATAGACGTATTTGGTATGGTAACCACCGCCGTTATAGTTGTATGTATTTGGTTTAGTTTCAGCCTCTGCTATAATTGTATTTCTTCAAAGGATGGTAGTCTTAAATTAAATTCTAAATGCTGCTATAAGCAAACAAATTCATAACAGAACTCTGGTTATATTATGTCAATGTATGATTTTGAGAAAGATAAATTGTACAGGTGTATTAAATTAAAAACGTTGTTTTACTTACTAATAGAAGGACGTTAAAGCTAATCATGACATAGAAGTTCAGATATTCGTTTCTTAATTCCAATTAAACATGGAAACTTATCTAGGATCACCAATGAAGATGTTTTACAATAAATACAATAAATGTTTGTAAATCAATATACTATTCTACAAACTAAAAAGGAAAGACAATATATATATATATATTGGCGATATTTTGTTGGGAATATTTCTAAGAATGCTGGTTTGATAGTAGTATGCTATAGTTGATACTTGATAACAACAAGGCAAGCTAAATCATGTTTTTTAAACATATTTTGTATTAACAGAATTTTATATTCTAAACTTAACTCACTCCTTAAATACGGATTCTGTTTCCTACAAATTAACATTTATCAAATATTTCCTCGTCAATAGTGTTAGTTATAATTAAATACCCTTATTGCATTATCTTAGTTAATCATGAATAAACATATGAATAACCGTTTTGTAATATATAAATATATATATATGTGTGTGTTGTTAAATCATTCTTTCAAATATACCATACTTACCATGATAACGATGATTTTACGCCTTGACACAGATGTACGGGCCAGTATGGAGGGTTTCTTTAACTACTGGACAGTGGTCAAGGTTTTTATAGCCTGTGTAGCAGTATATTTATTGTCCTGTTTTCTTTTTAATGTGACAAAATCGTGATTTAAAATATTAAAAGGAATTTGTTTTTGCTGTGTATAATCAAATTTTCTTTTATGTATTTACAGTGGACACACTTCGGACATGTCCTGTAATTAACATGAGACCGGGTTATTCGTTTGTGCTGACCACAAATACATATGTTACGTTGTATAACAAGCAAGTAAAAGGAAAAACGGACAGGGGTGACTTAAAGGCTAACATCACACTTGGCAGTGTCCATTTGTATGTAGGTTCATACCGTCATTCCACTAAAGGAAACAATAAAAAAAAATACAGCAATTCTTAATATGAAGGTATTCGGTATATCAATCATCCTTGTAAATATCTGTACAAGATGAAATAAAGGTAAACAGAAGTCATGTTGATATATCTGAACATTTCTCGGATAGTAATTATATAAAAATATACAGGAGCAAAATGAATTCGCCATGATCTGAATAAGATGGTGCATTACTGCACTACTTTCACTGATCGAGTGTAATAACTTGTTAAAAATAAAAAGTAAATTACGATTACGTTGATAAGAGACCCTGGAAATTGTAATATTTATTATGGATGTAGCTAAGTGTTTTGAAAACAGATGTCTACTTAGACGGCTACAAACAACTGAACATGAAGGATACTGGTTCCCCTCGGTATTTGGATTTCCTCTTGCTTCTATTAACAGGATACCATTTGGAGTATATTAAAGTAATGAGATAAATCCTTCACATAATTTCTTTAGTAACCTTAAGCATTTAAAGATTAATCAAGTTCCCCTTTTCACGACAGTTCAGTCATAAACGGATTTTTTCCTCCTTTCAAGCAATATGAGCTTAATTTCATATACAAAACGCGTTTAATAAATCTAACTTTTATTTATGACATTTTCATTAATTTTTTGTTCAGTGATTCCTCGCAAAACATGTTTACATTAATATGTTTGCTCACTCGTGTTACTATTGGAATGAATTAAAACGTGACATGCAGGTTAAGTATGAAATTAATTGAATTATGAAACCAGTGCACTAACCAACACGGATTTTGTCATTATCTATCGATATTTTGTGTGAAATCGGAATAGTCTACGGCACCATCGACCCTACAATAAGGTACAAATAAAACCTAGTACCACATTATCTAAGGTAGGACTCGATTGTAGGAAAACGCGAGATTTAGCGGGTATGGGAATAGGCAACAAAAGGAATTCTTTAGACAATTCGTGTATGTTTATAAATATGAAAAAGAAAAATGATAAGGAGTATAAAAATGTACAAATGTTAGCGTAAAAGGGCATTAAAAGTTTATTTAAAAACTTATTTCACTGTGAATGTTGATTATGTGACGGATCGATTGTTTTGTTCTTTTCAATATCCTATCTTAATCTTCAATATCACATGTTATACACACTTCCGTTGGACCATTAGTCCTCGAGGTTTGCTGTTTCCTGTTCGCCACATTTTCGTGCAATAGTGGCACGGCTCAGAGTTACAAAAATATACTTAACATTGTTCTAATATTATCATATATATGAAAATCATGAAATTTATTGAATTGTAAATCTGGTGCACCTCTCGTCTAGATATTGACTTTTTTTTCGATCACATTAGGAATTCATAAGTCGGCTCCTTGGCTTCAAAATTTTGTCCCTGGGGAGTCTTTAAATGACGAAACAGCTGTATTATGCAGTTCAATTCATTGTCTGGATCTTCTCTATCTAGCTCTAAATTTGTATTAAAAATGCTATTCACTTTTCTTTTGCACAATTTTCTGACAATATGGAGAAGGACGTACCGCACTCAAGAAAATTTGATGCAAATTTCACATATCAAAACTAAATGAATTGTGTCGTGTAAACTTTAATCCATGATTTATGTTTATTGAC